ATTTCGAACTTGACCGTGAGTCAGACAAATGAATTTCTATACCTACTATACTAGATTCGTAGACAGAATTTGCATTCGACGCTAATATAGTGTGTCTGTGTACTTGGCTAGAATGTGTCGCAGTTGTGTTTGACATTAAAAATTCATTTACAGCGGAAATTATGACTGCAATGCTAATGAGTGTTGCAAGTGGATATCATTGAAGTTCATTGACGAAAAGGATGGCTTACATTCAACGGAAGTTGGTCAATTAATGGGGGAACGATCGTGAAATGTAATACCCATCGACACTCTCATCCAACGTGATCGTTTGGAGATTTCAACTTGAACTTGTTGTCTTCATTAGCATGGCCCTAAAGCATCCTAAAACCCTCTAATTGAACGAAGCTAGTCTGACCTATACCCATGCCAAACAAAAAAAAAAACACAGAATCAATCATCTAGATTCTAGATTTCCATTTGAAAAACATTTCCTATGTGAGGAGGGGGCGTGGGTGGGAATATCATACCTCGGCGCTTCTTTGATTGGCAGACTGTCGGACAGTTTACATGAACAAGTTTATTAGTGTTGTCGATAGTTAAACACAAATAAAATATCCAGAGATGAATACTAATTAATCCCGGACTTATATAACATACTTTTACAGCGCAGCACAGCCCAACTAATTAATGCAACGCAAACTCTGGGGTAACCATGTTTGAGTCGCTTAAAATACGACTTTTCATTGTCAATGCAAATTTAGTTGCACTTCCAAGGGGGTGTGGGACTTGGGGGATAGGGAGGGGGAGGGGGCAAGGCTATGACTGTGGCCCACCCATTTGTCTTTGAAAGAATATATTATATGTGCAAGGCGTACAAAGAACCAGTTTAAACTGAACTAAACGGCAAACTGAAACACATAGTTGTGGTGGGAGGGAGTCGCAATTTTAGTTCAAATCACTTTTTGCATAGATTCGACCAGAAATATCTGGTTTTAACGAATTTTGTTACTTGTATAAACCGATCTTTACAAGCTATTGCCATAATTTATAATCTTTTGTATTGGAACTTTTTCTTTCTGTTAATAGATTACCATTGAATTGATTATCTATCCTCATAGCCGTCATATTTTATTATTTTTCCCATGGGACTTCACCATTTTTCAACTAAAAATTTAATTAGAAACAAAATACTAAAAGGCTGCCCAGAAAAAAGCCTTAATTATAAATAATTGGGCAAAGAAATCAATAGAAAATTGTGCACAAATCAATTTCAATGAGGTTTCATTTCGTACGTACGAGATTCGTAGGTTTCAGATGGGTATGGGTTCAGACGATTAGGAAGCACATAGGCATACAATATAATATATACTATTATAGTATATAGTGTAATCTATAGACGGTGTGTCTGTCTGGCAACGATTATCGCCGGACAGACAGCCGACCGGCATTTTAATTTTGTCCATTATTTTCTAAACCTAATCAAGATCATGCGAGTTCCGCAAAAACGAAACCAAAAGAATTAAAAACGCGACAAGCACGTGGCTTAAATTCCCGAAAGATAATCATAAATTATATAAATAATCATTATGATCGAAGCTAAAGCGTTCTGCATCTGGACTGATCCGATCTGAGCCCGACTTTGACGGATTATTCTGGCCTAATTGAAGGTACACGCACTTGTCATATAATTTCATTTTATTTGGATGAGAAAATGTTTGAAATGCGCGAGGGACGTTCATAAATATTACCGCGAAAAACATACAATTTTGTGTAGCAAATTGACTAGCGCTCAAAGCGTACACACACACATACATATATGTATCTTTATTTTAATAGATATTTGTTTTATGCTTCTCTCAGATAATGTGTAAATCTTGGAAGAGAGAAAGCGAAACTATTTTTATGCACTAAAGCCAAACAGAAAACTGCATTGTGTGCTAAAAATAATGGTAATAAAATAAGAAAACTAAACATTTTATATATAGACTGCAGTGGTTGCCACGCCCCCGTCTATGCTGGGAGGGTTGGTGGTCCTGCCAAGGTTAGTCGGCCGCTCGACGCGTTATCAGCAGCAGTAATCAGGGATTATTCACGCTTCTTGCCGTGCTCTCTCTGTCGCTCTCTTGTGGCTCAAGAAGAGTGAATCGATGGGAGTGGGTTGGGGATGGACTAGAGCATACCCAGCAGTTTGGAAGCAGAGGAATTGCCCACCCACTAAGTGGGAAGCATCAAAAGTTATCCATAAGCACAAGAGATTCCTTGCAACTCCAACCTTAGTTTTTTACCTGATCAAGGTATTGAACCCAATACATCTGCTCTTCTTTTGTGTACAGGGTAGCCAAACAGCCGGCAAATGAGAAAAACAAAACTTACCCACTTGCCATGAAACACTCACTTGGAAACAAATTCAACTAAGGCAAATTCTTACAGAAATTAAAGTCCTGCAAAGGATTAAACACAAATGAACTATGTAGTAAGTGTCTTATAGGGGAACCACAGCACCAGAATCCTTGAGTCTAAGGATAACATTGTTTCATTGTCATTTGATTTTTGATTGCTTCTTGTCTCAAATTTGAATAGTTTTCATTAGCTTTTTGGAATTCCGTCGAGCACTTACAATCAAAAGCATACACAGTGATAATTTTGTAAACCCTTTTTCGTGGAGGGGCAGGTTGGGCACGAGACCACTCAGCGGTGGTGGTGGTGGTGGCGGCGGCTTTCTAGAGGACGCGCTGTCGAGCACGCGGCGATTTAGCGACTGATCTGATCATGCAACGATCCCACACACAGGTCTCGCACCGGACACAACACCGATCTGCTCTGCTCTGCTCTGCTCTGGCTCTGGCTGGCGGACACGTAGCGGCAGAGAGCGTGGAGAGGCAGCACGACTTGACTCGTCAGATTATAAAACAGTACTAAAAACTAAATCGAAATCAAATTCGAAATATAGCCAACGACCGCGCAAATTTTGCAGCAGCAGCGCCGCCAGCGTCGCCAGCGTCGCGACTCTCATCAGCAATACATATACATATATAAATCTGTAGAGTATATATTTACATATAGATGTGTGTGCGAGATTGTGGGGGGGTTGACTTTCATTCATCAAAAACTGAGGCGGAGGCAGCGCTGCGCTGCGCTGCTCTCGCGGCATCCCGTCCCGTCCCATCTCATCGCATCTCATCTCACGTAACGCATACGCAGCGTTGTCTCGCGTAATTTGTCGCGCCTTGTTCTCAGTATCCGAATCCTGGGTTTCGCTTTCCTTATCCACATGCCAGGGCAATCAAAGGAATTCATTACCAGCGTCCTCCTTCGATTGTAGTTCAGTGTCTTGGATGCAGCTGCAGCTCCTCCTCCTACGCCTCATTAGGGTCTGCTTTGTCTAGGATTGCATTGATCATCGTCGCATTGTTGCTAATTCCAAAAGGGGGGGGGGGTTTGGTGCACCCAGCACTGTCGAATCTCTGAAATTAATGCAAGTTGCTTTCAAGATCTGGTTTACATACGAGTAGAACTCACCCAATAAGTAGGTCAAGTTTCCCCACTGGAATGATGATTACCAAATTGTGATGTCAAAGATCACCGGAGTGAAGCAACAACCACCCCGAAAAGCCCCGAACAATGGCCATTACCACGGACTACTTGAACTTGATTGAGACTCTGCTGTGCTATAAAATACAAAAGAATCCAAAGGGAACGAAGAACGCAACAAGAAATTGAGCATGGGCATGGGCATGGGCATGGGCATGGGGCACCAAAGAATGCTAGTTGGGCATTTCCGGTTTCATATTCGTACTCGCTGTACAGCCACAATGATAATGGTAGTAATAATCCAAATCAGCATCAGCATCAGCATCAGCATAAGCACAAGCCCAAGCAAAAGCACAGCTGCAGCTGCCTTTGATCTGCTTCAATTCGATTTGCCTTGGGGGCCAGTTCTGCCCATAGTTCCATGCTGCTGGGAAATGCTGCTGGTATAATGTGGTGTATGGTGTATAATGGTGTGGTGTGGTATACTATGCCTCGGTGTCGATGCCAGAGAATGAGGATGGGTCCAACTAAGCGGGTAAGTGGCTCGAAAGCGATACAAACGTAACCATTAGTCGGTGATCCCTCCCTCCCCTTTACCCTTGTCGTCCGCGCACACACCACGACCCATTTCGGATGGGTGTCCGATCTTTCTCATGTGGAGAGGTGGGATGGGATTTGGCACAACACACATTGGGACCGGAACTGTCGATCTTCATTTTTGACACTGGAAAACAATGCACGATCATGAGTGTGTGTGTGTTGAGGTTGGAAATTGCACATGTTTATACATAAATATAATCTATATACTATCTCAGCTATGTTGTGGTATATAAATAACCATATAATTATGTGCTCGAGTGTATTAGTGGACAAAGTTAATTCAGCAAATGCTTTGCCATAATGAGGATGAGGCTTTGGAGGGGGCTTAAGAATAGATTAAGAATGGTGGCATTTTATAGACGAAGCCTTTGATTTTGAAGAGCAAATTACAAACTACAGACAATTTAGCAAATAGAGACATGGTAGATATATTCTCAAATGGTTTAAGGTTGGATAACTTGTTGTTACTTCTATTAGCTTCAAATTTCTGGACTTCCTTATTATTACATCTAATTGCCTCATTTTTGGGATGTACTCTGATGAAAGTCGCATTCAGTAGATCTTTGTAGAACTGTTTGAAGCACCAATCCATTTCGGGATGAAAACTGATTTAAGTTCTTACAATGTCCGTCATTCTGGGGAAATAAAATATCAGTTCAAGGTATGAAAGAAAACAATTTACTTACACTGAGGTCAACGGATAGAAGAACGTCTTCCGTTTACTAGGTTCTGCCATCCAAATCCCCAATGTATAAGAGTTCCTTATTAGTATCACCCACACTTTGAAGGATAACATTCAGATTTGATCGATTTCGAAAAACTTTAAGCAATCAACGCCTCAAGTTTTCCATACATTAAATATATTTATTACAAGTTTATAAGTAGAATGTGTAAACATATATATGTATTATTGATAAACAAATTTCAAGATCACAAATCAGATTTTCTTTTAAGATTAAATGTGAGCAAAGTGGTTTTTCGTATCCGACGTACTGCAAAATGACAATAAACTAATGGCAAAATGCATTTAAATGTTCGGAGAGGAATGTGGGAACCTATTTCCAGTGTTTCACTATCCCCCTCCTCTATAAAAAGAAGTGATCCAAATGGCCACTAAGGTTTTCATATCATCTATGGGGTAAGGTGGTATTTTGAGCTTAAAGAACTTTCTAAAATAGTTAAAATTGCTTTTAAAAACAGACTACAGATCGCGTTAAACAAAGAGTACAAATAGAAGTATAGCTAGTGCTCCACTATGCCTGTCCTCTATATGGAATAAAGGTGTTGAAAATATGGCCACTTTGGTGTACGTATCTATGGGGTAGGAGTACGTGCAGGTAGGGGTTACAGAGGAGTATAAATATTTGTTAAAAAAAGTATTCGGGAAAGTGCAGGGTGACGATCGCAACAGTTGGTTCCACATCCACCACCACCAATACACGGACACCAGCAGCAGCTGCCGGACGTCGTATAAGAGTGTGTGTGTTTGTGTATGCGAGCGCTACCTCCTTCCCCTTGCAAGACGCTGACTGTATGTGTTGGCATGTGTGAATGTGTTTTCTCCCTTTAATCCTCCATTTTGGGCCGTCGAAAAAGCAGGATATGTGGCTCTGGCTTGTGAATCATATAATGGATCCATCCGCGTGACTGTTGCACACCGATCGATCGCCATTCGGTCTCTGTCATCAGATGGGTCTTGGGCACCAGCTTCACCAGCTCCTTGGGCAAGACCACATGTCTGTGCGCACAAATACAAGAACAAACACAAATGGACTTGAGTATATGTATACATTTACAGTTGCTATCGGGATTCGCACGCACTCACCTATACTCGAATTTCTCATCGTAATATTTATCCGAATAGTAAATATCTTTACTCATTTTATTGCTGTACAAAAACTGTTGTAGTCCTCCTGAGACGCGCACTTGACCTTGAATTGAAAGTGTGCTGGAATGTCTGAATGCTGATATGCTGCAAAGCAAGGGATGCGATGTGCGAATTTTTCAGCTCAAAGTCGGCGTCTTCTTCGACTCCGGGTGAAAGCGCCACTCGATCGTTAGTCTTTCGCTCCGAAGTTGCAATATCTTCGTATGTTTTCCTTGTGTCTCCGCTTATTTGGAATGTACTTGAATCGTTTTATCACAATTATATTTAGCTGGCAAAGCAAGTTTTACGTTTTCAATAAATTTTTGACGCGATTTTCAATTTAAGAGACGCGCTCGCAGTGTGACCGGGCATTTATTGATAAAATATACCGCCTTATCCTCAGAAACATACCACAATATACCGTCTCATTTTCAAAAAATACCGTAAATATACTGACGAATTATTTGTATTCAAGATTCGGTTGAATATTACCAGCTAGCTAAGACCCTCAGCTCTGAACTTATCGTATTGTTTCATCCGACTATAAAATCAATTTCTTAGAAGGCTGGTTAAATTAAAACTTTGCATTGCTTATAAAATATATACATATAATTCTGCAAGGTGTGTGAGCTAGACGTGGTGGCAAGAAAATCAGTGTTACCGCGGATATTCCGATAAAATATAACGCCTGACCCTCAGAAATATACCAAAATGAAATACGAACTTAGACCACTTAAGCACCCTCTATTTAAACAGTGTTACAACTTGAGTTTAACCGCGGAAAATAATAATAAAGAATAATTATTCTTGTTGATCCAACTGCCCAAATCGTCTATGTAGTAGATACCTGGTCGGTGGGGTTGGATTTGGGCATGCGTTTGCTATGGAAGTCATACTGTTTAGTCTTTTCATTTATTAATGAAGATGCGTGCAATATTTGATTATTAACACCAAGGCCAGTTGGCAGGGAAACGGACATACGGACATCGCTAGATCAACTCGCCCTTCACGCCGATCAGGAATATAATTTCTTCGGGTGCGTTATCTGCTTCCTCAAGAGTTTACAAAGAATGAAATACATGAAATGCTGAGCACAGTACGTGTTTTCTGCTTCAAAATTCTGCACGGTGTATACATGAATGCTCCGAGGATGCAGCGGTAGTTTTCCCGTTGAGACAGGCCGTCTACGACTCCCGTGCCCTTAATAAGAAAGTTACAATGAAAATAAAGTTATGGCTTTTAGGTATTCGTCATATTTTTATTAATTCTAGTCTCAGAACCCAAGTGTTTTCTCGTAAATCTCGCAATCGTCGTAGTTGTCGGAGGCGACATCTTCATTATCGTTATCATCTGGCAGAAAAGAATTGGGTAATTCACAGCCAAAGTAGGCATTGTTGTTCGCGCAGAATGTGATGAGATGACGCCAATTGTCGTCGACGCTGAGGAGATGGGGATTACCGTATATGACCAACAAAGCGCGGGCGCGCGATATGGCGACATTCATGCGCTTACGGCTACGCACAAATCCAAGGGCCAGGGCGGCATCTTTGCAGAGAAGCGTCTCAGATGAGCGTACGGTGGAAACCAGCATTATGTCGCGCTCCTGGGTAATATAGATCAATATATATATACATTGCATACTATACAGATTGCGCAAGACTTCATATATGCTCACCTGTCCTTGAAACTCTTCAGTGGAGCCAATCTTTGGCATGACAATATCTGTGACCATGAACAGGCCCCTTAACGTCTTCGCCTGTTTCGTATAGGGCGTCAGAATGCCAATTTGATCGGGAGTCACTCCGGAACGATACAGCGATAAGACCATCAGATAGAGTTCCCTGGCTTCGAGCGGATTGTACCACGAGGGCGAGTCGTTGTCCTGCAGATTCAGCCCCTTAATCCCAACGAAGCAGACACCGTGGTTACGAGGCATTCCCGTACCCAGTAAGGGCTGCACTTTGGCCAACAAGGTGACTTCTCGGGAATCCTCCTCGGATACCACTGGTATCAATTCATCGTCATAGAATAGCTTACTATATGTGGCCATAACCGAGGGCAGGGCCCGATAATTGTGCAAAAGCTTTGTTAGCACAAGGGGATTATATCCAGAGCTGTCTGGGTACCCGACCAGGTCCTTGGCATACGGCCGAGTGTTCAGCAGGCGCTCCAGCATTGAGATGCTGAAACCACAGTCACGTCCATATCTGCTTGTTATTATAGGCTCCAACTGATGCGGATCACCGGCCAGGATGACCCGACCCCGGTCCTTGGATAGCACAGCCGCGGGCATCAACGTTTCCGGCTCGGTCGTCTGGCCGGCCTCATCCACAAACAGGTGGGTGAAGTGTCCGCCCGGAAATGACATCTGCATAAAGCTTCCCAGAGTGGCACAGGTGCCGATGCTCAAGCGATGGGTACCCATAAACTTCCACTGGCAGCGCAGCTTCAGACCCGAAGGGGTGACCAGCATCTAAACGGGAGCGGGGATTCAGATGGATGGCGATGGAAGAACGAAATGGACTGAAATGCACTTACGGTGTTCTCAGCGGTTCCATCGGCGCATATGTCCAAGGTCGCGCAGTAGGGCATCAACTCTGGTGGAATGAGTTCCCTCTCAATCACATTTTGTGAGACGATTCGAATGAAATCGCCAGCGACAAGGGCTTTGCTGGCAATGATACGCTTGGTAATGAGATCCGCAGCACTGTTCGAGGGTGTGGCCACCAAGATGCGGCAACTAGGTAGGTTTCGTACTATCTGCAGCACCGCCTCCACCAGGGTGACGGTCTTGCCGGTTCCGGGCGGACCGAAGATCACGTATGGCAGGTTCGTGGCCTCACCCCGCAGGATATTAAAGACGGCTCGCTTCTGAATGCAGTTTAGGGATTTGTTGTACCACTCCAGCTTCGTGTCGAACAGATACATATCCTCTCCATTAGCGAGGCGCACCTGCAATTGCGGATGATCGCGCTTGACCACCTTGGTGGGGAAGAGGAACTGCTCGCCCATGGTGGTGACCACTTGATTGATGGCGTGGTGTTGCTTTCTAAGGCAAAATCGGGAGAAATAGAACTCCAGACGGTAGTCCTGGCCATTGTAACTCGCCTGGAAGTTGGAATTGAACTTCAGCAACACTCGATCGTAGAGTACCTTGTGTATGATGCCAGAGTAGGTTTTTTTATCGTCCTTCCAGGGATCGGTGGCATACACGGAATCGCCTACGACCAGCGAGGGCCGACGCTCGGCGAGATTCTCGATTGTGAGGGAGAGATACTCCCCGTCCCGTTCCATGTGGGCCCTGTCTCTGTCAAAGTTTCGAATGCTAATGAACAATTCAATTTCCTCTAAATGCAAGAAGAAACGGAAGCGCTGCACATAGTTGGCCATGCACAGGGACTCTGTCGAGCACGGATACAATCTCTCCAATTCATCGAACATTTCCGTTTGCCGCCAGTCTTTCAGGTAGGCATTGCGCAGACTCTCTGGAACTTCGAAGCCGCCAATGTGGGTTACCACAAATCGTCGTCCGGCATGTATGCTTTCACCGCTAACCACATCCAATGTTTTGTTCCACACTTGTCTGGCATAGCTACGGTTGCGCTGCTTCTCCGATCTGCCAGAGGCCACAAAACTTTCGGCGGCAACCAGACGAAGCTCTGCTTCGTCGGCCTGCTTTTGTGTGTCGCAGGCAATGATCTTGAAAAAGCGCGCCACCTTAAAATTATTAAAGTCCAGGGTATATTTCTCCGACCATTCGCCGATGCAGCGGGCCTCCACCTCAAGAATCACCAAAAGGCTGCCGTCAACAGCAATACTGGTTTTGCCAATTGGCTCGATCACACTCATCTGTGACGTGTGGCCATGGTCTAGCTGGACTTCCAGGAGCTCCAACTTGCGATACGTATTGTTTTGTACCTTGACGGTGACCTTTCGTTTCACCCACAGCTCAGTGGTTATGAAGCGGGTTGCGCCAGTGATGATAACCGCCCGATCGTCGCAATAGGTCTTCTCTTTCTTGATTCTCAGAAAGCTACTCTCCTGCGGGGTCGCTTTGATGGCGCGAAGCGTGAATTTTGACTGAAAGAGTTAGGATTATTGCGAAAATTCTTATTTTGTGTTTCTATTCATCCCATCATATTCAACTTACGTAATTACATTCGATGAGATCCGCCAGGACGTAATCGCCCATGTGAAGATCTGTACCAGAGGGGAAATTTTCCCGCAGCAAATAGGCATTGTTGTCAAGAACAGCGAACTCGGGGAAACAGCGCTCCACCCGGCGTTTTTCGTTCGAGAGAATGCGTGTTGGAAACAACTTCAGCAACTGGAGAATTTCCCCTTGCTTGTCCAAATAGCCATCGTCCAGCTGGACAGCGCACTCGAGTGTCACCATGTCGCCCTTCTTTGGTACAAATGTCATCTCAACGTTCTCCAGGTCAAATTTTTGACATCCCGAGCTGGTTTCCAGTTCGATGGTGGATGTCTGGCGTCCGATGACGATGCCGTGGATGGTACGCTCCTGCGTTTTGAAGTAGGTAGAGTCTTCAAGCTTTAAGTCCTCCATCGCCTGGCTTATCTGAAAAGGGAATGGGACTTCGATTAATATATTTCTTGTTTTGGGTATGGATAGGATCGCTCGAGTCATACCGTTGAATCTGTGATCTCTTCTCCCCAGTTCTGCTCAATAGTCTTGAGTATCTTGACCACTTTAAGGGAGTCTTCTTTCCCCTTCTTGTACCCCAAATACTCGACCACTGAGCCCACGACTAGCTGATTATATATATGGTCGGAAGCCTGGCCGTCGAAGATGATGTACTTATCGATGACACCACCGTTCTTGCTCAGAGAGGTGATGACGCCCTGACGGCTTGAACAGAACTTATCGTCAGGCTCTTCCCCCTCGCTGTTGTCATTGTCAAGATTGCTTTTGATAATGTTGTGCATGGACGACGACTCTTTTTGCCGTTGCTCTCTGAGCAACTGGAGATCCAAAAAATTGTTCGTTCGCTCAAACACCTCCTTGTTCCGCTCACGCTCGCGCTCCTCCCTATTCCACCAATAGCGCAGTAATCCAATCATTTTTGATTTTGTTTTTCGTTGGTCTTCTACTGTTGCGGCTTCTTTTCCAGGCTCTCGTACATCCAATCCGTTTCGCTGATGTAGCTCAATTCCTTGCGCAAACTTTGCAGACGCTGCAAATGGCTGTCGCTGGACTCTGCTTGTGACCCGCTTCCGCCCGCAAGCTGCGACTCTGCCTTTTCCGACTGATTCTCCGGTTTCTTTGTCTAGAATACGAAACAAACAAAAAGAATTACAAAAAAATGTTCAGGGATAAACATTTTGGACCATTTCTAATATAAGCAGAGGGTAACTTTTTCGTTTCTAAGGCTTCGATCTCGCATACTTTCGTATTAAAATGTTTATTTGTTAAGATTCTCTCTTTTTCCCCCTTCTTTCTAGTCGCCATGTCCATGGCGTGCATGGCGACTCTGATCTGGAAATGCGTCACCCTGTACTTATTTCTTTTACCGTTCGTTTTTACCTCTCTCTCTTTCTTCCGCTGAGAAACAGCAACAACGTAACGGAATGGCAAAAGCAAAGACACAACAACAACAAACCTCTGCTCCGCTGCTCGCGTCTGTGGGAGTTTGTGCACTACCGCTTGATGATGCCTCTTCTTTGATGGTAATGCCGGTCGACTCGTTAGACATCGTCTGCAAAGCTGTAAAAATAAGAAACCATAAGCCGCGCGAAATTTGAGCCGGCCCCAAAATATAAAAGCACTTACAGTGTCGGCAACGGAATGTGCACGAAAAGCAAAATCACTTGAAACCCAGAATCTCAATCTAGAATATTCCCAAAAAACAATACTGCGAGGTTGTGACAAAAAGTATCAAACCAAGCTGTAAAGTTTCGAAATTACAATTACCCGCGCGAAATTCGAGCCACCACAAACAAAAACTTACCAACTGCTTGCCGCCGCAATGCGAAGGAAAAGCAAAAAGCACTCGAAACTCGTCTTTACGGAAAAAACCTAACAGATCCAGAAGGATCCAATACAGACCGGCGAAGTTCTGGCGGAAAAAGAAAATGGCAAATGACAAAACGACGAACGAAGGAGGCACAGAAAACTTGAAATTCGGCACACAATTAAGAGCCAATTTTTCGTCTGAGCCCAAGAAATATACCAAAATATACAAAATATGCTGAAGAAAATACTAACTTAACCCACTTAAGCCCCCTTTATTTAAAGTGGTTAACCACTTGAGTTAAGCCGCCGAAAATAATAATAATAAAAACTCCTGTAGGTCCATTATATTCTTATCTTATTATCATTTCACCTAAACTGCGCTAATATTTTTCATTCATCATTTTCGTGGAGAGTATTTCAATATCCTCTGGTCAACAATTGGTTAATTTTTGTCCATGATTAGAAATCATATTCCCAAAATTTAATATTCGGCTATTAGCAAACTAAGACCCACAGCCCTGCCCACATAATTGTATCCCATTAATGAATCAATTTTCTACATTATTGGCGTTTTTTTTAGTACTCCCTTTGATTGAATTTTTTCTAAAATAAGGTTTCAACAAAAAAGGTCGAAATATAAAATATATGATGGTGGTATTGGAAGACTTGTTGCTTGTCAATCGGAGTATAGGCATATTTGTTCACCCATTTTCGTTAATTTAATTTTCAAATACTGTTTTACAAGCTGTAAAACATAATTAATAATATATTTTTCACAGAATGACATTCATGCATTTGATCTATTTTCTGTATATACAGCGATATTGCACTGTTTTGTTGAGATAGCTTTAAATCGTTTTCTGCATATCTGACAAACATTTTAATTCTATAATATTCTCTTGGTACCTCTTAAATTAATTTAAAATTTAAATTATTTAATATAATTAATTAATATAAATACAATTGTTTATTTTATATATTTTGAATATATATTTTGAAATACACATGTAACAGTGAGATCTAACAGGAGTGTGGATACCAAATTTTGCTGCTCTAGCCTTAATAGGCTCTGAGATCTGTTGTTGCCGAACATTTTCGTCCTTTGCGGGTCGGAAAGGGGAGGGGCGAAATTTTGAAATATACTTGTGCAGGCTCTTACAGTCTCTCAGATCTAGGCGCTCACTTTTTGCAATAGGCAAAGCCGATAATGAAACACGTGTGTCAGAGAGAGACAGAGCGAGAAAGAACGAAATTGTTTCCATCATTCTGACTATAATAATTATACGATCTGGTTTAGATCTGGTTCTGCAGTTTAGAAGATATAGTCATTCTCTACGATTTTGCTTTTTCTGCTTTCTCGTATCTTTGAAATTGTGGTGCCACAGATTTTAGTCCTTTGTGGGGGCGGGGCGAAGTTTTAAAATATACTTGTAACAGTGACATATCATAGAAGTCTGAATACAAAATTTCTTTGAGCCCTAGGCGCTGATAGGGACGGACAGACAGACAGACAGGGCTCAATCGACTCGGCTATTGATGCTGATCAAGAATATATATACATTATGAAATCGGAAACGCCTGATGTTACACACATCCACTTTCAACACTAATCTAATATACCCCTCTACTCATTTTGAGTATCGGGTATAAAAAGAGTAAGATGAATATTTCGAATTTGGTGAAAATATTGCACATCATGTTTTCTTTAACATTTTAGGCGTCTGCTTCATCTACCTTTGGGGCCAGATAGTAACGTATATACCCATAATCCTCAATAGGGTACTCCACCAGCAGAGGGACATCCGGTGCTAGACAAATCTTGACACGATCCGACAGCGGTGTGGCTCGTGTGAAAGTGTTCAGGTAGCGTCCAGCAAAGGACTGGGTAATGGGTTCATCCACGTCTATGGTGATGTCTCCCTTTGACGTATCGGAAAGCTTAATGTTTGCGGAACCCATGTCGCCGTTGGCCGAGAACTTGATGCCCTGCTTGGTGCAGGATATCACCACAGATTCGCTGAACATGCTCATGTCTCTGCAGATACGAGCAAACTCGCTGGATGGCATCTGCACGATGCAGGCGTAGTTCGTTTCGGGAATGCCCAAATGATCCTGGTCCAGATTCAGCAGCTTTAGCTCGTAGTCCGCTGTGCGACTTTTGTTGTCCGACTCGAAACTAAGGAGCAGCTTGTCGGCTTTGTCAGCCGCTGTAAGGGTGACGGCGTCATCGCCGCTGGCGCTCTTGACGACTTTGGCCAGGGATTTGAGATCCAAACCAAGAGAGACATTTCTATCGCAGCGGTATTTCTCGAAGCCTTCTGTCTGGAGGCTGAGGGCCACCAGAGAAACGTGAGAATTGTCCATAGACTGCAGCTAATTGGGGGGATATCAAAAATGTATAAATCCTTTGTTGGAATGGATTGTTACTGTACCTGCATGCCCGTCTCGGTGCAGTCCAAGGTGCTCTGCGAGATTATCTCTTTGAGGGCGTCCACGATCTTCTTCAGAAGCAGAGTCTCTCCAAACCGTGCCTCCAGCATAGTACTTAAATTAATTTAAATATTTTCTGTCAATTTCACAATCGGAAATAAACAAATAGACACGAACAGCTGTTCAGCAAATGATGACAACAAATGAGTCTACAAATTTCAGCAACATTGACGTCACAAATGAATATTTTTGTTGAAACTGTGTTTTTGTCAAAACAAAAGCAAGTACTTAAAAGGTGGTAATCCTAATCAAAATCGATTCATCAATCATAGAAAATTATTTGGGCAAAACCTGAGAGATCTATATAGCTGAGAATATTCCACGGAAGATCAAAAACGAGGAATATGTAAAATAGATCTTGAATTCGTCAGTATATTTGGGGTATATTTTTTAAATGAGACGGTATGTTTCGGTATATTTATGACGGTCGGACGGTATATTTTATGGATAAGTCCGCGGTCACACTGTTCCCAGCTCTAACAAAAAAACAAACGAAAAACACGCAAATTTTCCAAATAAACTGCATTTAAAGTAACCGAATGGATAACGAAGAAGTGAAACGCGGTCGTGGACGTGGCCGTGGAACTCGAGCTCGTGGCAGGGGTCGCGGGCGAGGACGTGGTCGTGGCAAAAAGATCGACGACACTAGCGTGATTGAAGCCGCCTATGAAGCGGGTGCTGCGGCATCCGTGGCATCACATACAACCGTCCTGGAAGGCAGTCCCGCCAGCACAGACCATGTGGAAGATGCCATCATGCAAGATTTGGACAAGGACAACGAAATGGAGGTGGCCACAGTGTTGGAGGAGCAACAGGCCACAACAAATGCGGATATGACGCCGCCGACGCCTCAGCAGCAGGTGGCCTTGCCTGTTACGGCCAAAACGAGTAAGAAGCCATCCCAAAGGATTATTTGAACCTCCAAAAACCATTGCTTTGCCCCAACAGTTGACATGGAATCGGACATATCACAACTGGAGGCACCCACCTTTACCACATTATCGCGCGGGCCACCGGAGCCGATGTTGCGCCTGAAATGGAACCACAAAGTCAGCCTCATCGGCGAGAAGGTACTGAATCCCATGATCCATTGTTGCGATCAGTGCGACAAGCCCATACTCGTCTATGGCCGGATGATACCATGCAAACACGTCTTCTGCCTGAAGTGTGCCCGCGCCGAGCCCATCAAGAGCTGTCCCCGATGCAGCGACAAGGTGCTGAGAGTTGAGCAGAGCGGCCTGGGCACCGTCTTCATGTGTACCCATGGCGGCAGTCGGTACGGCAGCACGGGTTGTCGACGCACTTATCTGTCCCAGCGCGACCTGCAGGCTCACATCAATCACAGACATGTGGCACCCCAGCTGCCGCCACCACCAACGGCTCTTGGTGCAGCGGGCGGCGGGGTTGTTGTTGTTGACCCGAAGCTGGCGGACCTGAGCGGCTTGCATAAGCAGCGCAAGGCGAGTGGTACCTATGGCTCCTAAACTAAGCTGTCTTGTCTAAAAACGCTTGCCCCTTGCAGCTCTCCGAGTCACCTGCCTCGTCCTCCTCCTCCTCTGTTGCTCGCTCTTTGTCGCGCCTTCCAGCCATGTCTGTCGGCACCATTCCACCGCCTGGCTCTGCCGCTGCCGTTGCGGCCGCTCAAAACTCCGTCCACGCGCACTCAACGCTCACGCTGGCGAATCTGGCCAGAATCAACAATGCCAACGCCCTGGACTGCCACCAGGGCAAGGCCTCGCTGCACCAGTCGCTGAAAAAGGGTCCGTCCCATCAGTCAGAGTCCGTAGCCGATGCATCATACTACAGCAGCATTCTGGCCTCCTTTGGCAGTGCGGGGCCACCGGGAGCAGTCAGTGGCGGCGTTGCTCCAGCTCCTACCCACAACTCCACTCAAGCCACCTACGAGACGGCCAGTGCAGCGGGCAGCACAAGCGGAAATTGGCAGCAAACGCAATATAGGATATGATAGACCACCACCATACACTCAAGAACAGCGGTTTTTTAGGCAAGTTCGGTTTTAAATTAAGAAGAAAGTTACTGTAAATTAAGAATCGAATGAAATTAAAAGAATGTATTTTAAAGAATGCCGTTTGTTTACACCTAATTCTGTTTTTACACGGTTTGAAACGGTTTCCATTTAGCACGGTTCAAAATAACAAAACACAAATAGATAAAAAACACTTACATATGTAGCTCGTAAGCAGCTAGAAACCAAACGAAAACAAGAAGGAGCATATAGAGAATACATATGTACATATTTTTCTCTTTCGTTTTATTTTTGCGTATATTTACATGCAAGCAAATTTACTGGTCAGAGCAATTGTAGATAACAAAAATTTAGGGGAATTCCCTTGTTGTGTAAATTTAAGGGGATTACATTTTTGCAATAGAAATGTGTTCGTATTTTGTGAACTACCAATGCAATCAGACGTGTTTGGTAAAGACATTTTTTATACGCAAATAGTTTTGTCCAACGTTTCCTAATTTTACCCCAAATTTTAATAGGTTTTAGAGATAAGGAACCAATTACCCATTTTTGCATACGATCAATGTCTTATTTTACACGGTTTTTTAGAAAAACAAAATTAGATGTATTTTGTTGCTAAATTGTTTTAAAAATAACAATAGCTTCTAGTTATCAGATACTGTACTGACCGTTTCTCATAATTTTCTTTGAAAGACATTCCTTCAAATAATCACAAAAACATGGGACGTAAAATATGGACGACTTTCATACCTTTCATTTGAATAGGCCGCTCAAGAAAAGTAATTGTTACTTCCTTGAATTTAACCACTAACCATACAGTATACTGTTGGGTTAGTGACTTAACCCAATCCCTGTTTTGGATTTTGCCAAAAACAATTGCTTAAAATAATCAAAAAATTTAAATTTAATTTAATTTAAATTTTTAAATTTTCATTCAAAAACAAACAGCTAATAGAATAATTTTTGAATATTTTCAACATAAGTTTAAAAATCCCCGCTCACAAAGCGGACTATCGATATTTACTATGGACACACCTATAGACCCTATCGATACACCAGCAGCTGGTTTAAATTGAAAATGTAAACAAATCCGATGTTCGCATCAATTTTTGACTGAAATTACCATAAATAAGATGAAACAATGCCTGAGGTTTAACCCAGAGTTCAGGCCTGCGAGAATATCTGATGCAATTCACCAAACATCAGCAGTATTGAGGGCCAGCGCCATTGGAAAAGCAAACGTGGGGCATCCAAAAGTGAAAGTTAGTCAACAGAAAAATGTTGAAAATAGTCTTAATTAGTGGTAAACGCAAGTGCGGCAAGGATTATATATCCGAGAGACTTCAAAAGCGGTAAGGGGTGTACAAATAAAACATTCAGTTAAAGAAGTTTTTTATCTATGCAATAGCTTAACAAATCGCGCAATAATTGTACGGATCTCGGAGCCCATCAAATCGGAATGGGCGCGCAAGCTGCAATTGGACCTTAGTGCCTTGCTCAGCGATGGCCCCTACAAGGAGCAGTATCGTCGGGATATGATTGTGTGGAGCGATGAGGTGCGCAACAAGGACTATGGCTATTTTTGCCGTGCAGCCATGGAGGAGGCGCCCCTGGATCAGATCGCTTACGTCATAGTCAGCGATGTGCGGCGGAAGAATGACATCAAATGGTTTCGCGAGACCTATGGTCAGAATATGGTCCGAACTGTACGACTTACCTCACGCCCAGAGACGCGTCAGGCCCGGGGCTGGACCTTCACAAAGGGCATTGATGATGTGCCCTCCGAATGTGATCTGGATGACTACGACAGCTTTGACTTTGTTGTGCCTAATGAAGATGAGAATGATCAGGGATTTATAGACCAGCTATTGGATATGCTGCAACTCAAGTAACTGAAAATTACTATTCAAATTTTACTCGAATATGTATTTTTTATATGAAATGTATTCCATATGGTTAAGATAGCTATAGCCACATCACCACTTTACACATCACGAATTAATTAAGGGAAATCACTGATTTTTAAGAAAGCGTTGAGCTATAAAACTGTATGGTTTATAATGGTTGCTGTAAAAAGCTATTTCCTGAATATTCCATTAAGAAATAAATCACGAAAGCCTGTCCTTCCACTTTGAGGGGAACAAAATACGTTGTACTCTATTTTTTGTCCCAAATGTATAATAAATGTATTATTTAATCAATCATGAAACAAGATACATTTTATTTTGGTTTTTTTTTTTTTTTGAAATTGCTGCCTGATAAATAATAAGAGCTGTTAACTTGAATGTGGATTTAAATTAAATTTCGAAAAGTTTGCTGGCAACCTCTAAGGGTTTTAAATTTTTTTTAAATTCCATTAAATCCTAGAAATTTTAATTTTAATACATTTACTTGTAGTAATATGAATTTTATTTTGTAATATCAATCATACATGCATAATGAAGTACATATCCGAATACTGAGTGAGAGTGGACAAAGAACATAGAACAATACATTAATCCCTTACGCAGGACCTACATACTAAGTCAGATACAACAAAAATACAGAAACACAGATTAACAATAGGTACACATATATTTTAAAGTACAATTTTATGGATATTAATCCACTTGTTTGCCTTCATCGCGATTACGCTTGAACGAGACGGAATGGATGAGTAGTGGTGGCAGATTGCCGCGCAGCATTTGGAGGCGCTTGCTCTTCTCCTTTTCCGGGCGACGCAGCTCGTTGTTGGAGGAACCGGGCGACGTGGAAGACGTGGCCGATGGTGTCATGGATGCCAAGGAACTGCCAGGCAATACTTCGGAGCTCTGGGTCATGAGCATGGCAGAGCGACGGAAGTAGCGTGGCATCGAGTAATCATCCTGTGTGGCCCTTGCCGCATTTGCCGTCTGAATGGAGTACAGGCTCTGCGACACGCGGTACTTCTCGATGGTCGGTGTGTCCTCGTAGTTCTTGGGCAGATTACTGAACGATATGAAGGGAACCTCCGGTGTCATGCTTATCTGGCTGCTGTTCACAGTGCCGCTGATGGAGAATATATCCGTTTCACTGGCCGCCGATCTCACGTGCATGTGCGGCACACTCTTGGCCGAGCGCAGGATACGCTTCGGTGTGGTGGCCAGGCCACTGGGATTGGCCAACAGATGGGGATGTCGATCAATGAGGCGGGGTCGCAGTACAACCTCCTCTAGGGAATCCTCCTCGTCTTCCTTTTCGTCTTCCTTCTCCTCCTCGGCAATGGCCTCGAACTTTTTGGGGGACAAGGTCTGACTTCCCTCGGGCGAGCACTCTGCCGAGGATGGGGCCAAAGTGAATGTAATTCGTTTCTCGGGTGATGTCTTTGAATCTGTAGCATCGCCTGGAAAATATGGGATATATATAACATATAACATTACTATGAATCGTAACTAAAGATTATCAGTTGACGTATCGTAACAGATAGTACTAATAAAAGGTTGGCAAACAAGATAAAGAGCCCTAGAGTTCATGACAGATATGACAGATACGAAGAGATAATAAACAACACCCTGGGGAAACCAACCACTCTGGAAAAAACGAGGAGACTCTTAGGAAATTTCCCTGTTTCTATATCTTAAAGAATCATAACCTCTATCAACAGGAAATACCCGTATGACAATCCTAGATTCTCAAATGCTGGTTGACCGCACGTAATCTTTATCTATCAAGAAAATAATGTCATCATGCTGATTCAGTAAACATTTACGATACAAAGATTGTTCTATAATTTATAGCAAAACAGTGCGTAACAAAATTATAAAGTCTAAATTGTAGAAAACCTATACAAATTCATTGCATTCTTCGATTTTTCTATCATAACAAAATAGCATTATTTAATTTATTAGAAAACATTTTATATCTGCCTTAAGGCACTGAAACGCACTGTACATACATACATAGGTATTGTAAAATGGTATTGCTCAGAGGCCCACAGCAGAACCCTCGTTTGAGGGCACGTCCATTGGAAAGACTTTGGTTCCGACGGCCAACGTCAGAACCATAAAAATATATACTACATATTATACGAGTATATCTTGTGACGCCTTTGCGGCAATGCCAGTGAGCGAAAGGCAATAAAATATGGGCTATAACTGTTTTTGCTCAGTGTATAAAAAGTCCATTCACCATTCAGCACAAAAGCCGCAACAAAAAACGTGATGAATAGTTAAACGTCGTTAAGATTGGAATATCATGAGTACATACATATATGTGTACATATAATCTATAAATACAACAAAACCTTGGGAGAAAACAATATTCTAGGGCAACTTTTACGATGTGTGGGATGACAGTTCCTCTGAAATGCACACAATGTAAAATTAAGCTACAAAAGGTTCCATTGTTCTTCAATTTTCAAAAGGTCTTAAAGAAAACCTACCTATAAGAAACATGATACCAAAACCCTTTGAAATTTGATAATTTCTTTGCCCTTAGGGTTTTTATCAGCTCAGATCTAGAATGAATCGATCGTTAACAAAACTGAAAAACTGATTACAAGGTCTTCCACTCTCTTATCTCACATTTTATTCAGCCAAAAACTCTCTCTGAACGGTGGCCACGAAAAAGCTGCTACCACCACTCCTACATACTGTTTATTTGCTGTTAACATTTTTATATATGGGATTCCGATAAGGGAATCAAAATCGGGAATTTGACTAATTGGCTGATTCGTTCGATTCGATTCGGTTTGGGTATGGGAGAGAGTGTTGGTAGGGTGGCGTGTGGAGTGTACTCTCATGCCATAATGATTTCTCAATTTGCATAAAATATGATAAATCGCTGGCGGACCCTGCCCGCCCATAAAAATGATCTCCAATTGCAGCTGCCGGATTGCGGGTTTTATCTTTTCCAGATGTGATAACTAATGGCTGACGTACACCACGTTTGAATGGCTACCAGAACCCCATCCCATACAAAATGTTAATCCAACTCCAGATGGGAAACCGGTATCTTCGTCAGTGCGAAATAATTTTGTTAATTAAATTTTGGTCCCAGTTTCCAGATTACATTCGTTTCTTCCGCATTTGAGGCTTCAAAAGGTGTGGAAAACTTTTGGGCGATGAGAATAAGGTTAATGGAAGAGAAACGTACGGACGAGTACCTTTGAGCTGACTCCAAGTTTGGAGAAGAATTTCACACAATTCTTTTGTTAAAATCTGATTTCATTGGTTACTTCATAAAACTTTTCCTATACCTCTTCGCAAAAGTTTAACTAGTCCCTCTATTTCGACATGATTTGTTAACAATTCCTCACTTAAATCTCTTCTAATCTTCTCTTCTCAACTCCGCTCTCAATTTTCATCATTTATATTCCACATCGAATAGGAATTCCACATCATTAGGAAGAACACCCTCTCAACGCTACTGAAGTGTGTTGTTTAATCCGATCTCAGGCAATTAGCTGCTGCTGCTGAGTAATGCCAATGCTTAGCAAACAATTTCATTGTTCAAAGTGCATAAATGATATCGCACTTTAGCCATAAGATTCCAGAGAAAATGACTCAAAGTAAAGTCAGCAAAATGGATTTTAAGTGTGTTCCAAATCACAAAGCTGACAAAATTAATGGATAAAGCTGGGATTAGCAGCCTTAAAGTGGGTAAAAAACTTTTCAAAATGTTTTTATTTTTGAATTTAAATTAGAAAGAACACTCAAAGTGAGGTCTAGCTGCTCGAGCAAAATCGTAGGATCTTTCAACCAATCAAAACGTTTTTGTCGAGGCACATCGAGGGCCTGTTCACCCAAGAAGAATATCGCTTTTAAAATCTCGAAGATTAAAGAGTTGCGGAAGGAGGAGAGGAACGGAAAGTCCAATGAATACAGCCTTTTTTTCCAATCCAAGAGTTGCAGTGGATTTTGTAGAGATAGAAGTATGTATACATATCTTTAGCTTGATTTGATGAAATCATCGCCAGAGAGATAGTAGTCTTTAGAATAATCTTTTTCCTAGATGATTCTTCAATAAATAATATTCATATTTGATGCCTCCAAGTTCAATATATGATATAAGCTATATTTCTAGCTCTGTTAGAATCATTATCAATAGGTGTTCCTTCAGTTCCTTATATATGAATCCAGAAAATGGTTATTTCTTTTAGTTTTTTTGTGATAAGTAAAAATTGTTTTACTCGGGGTCTTATTTTAGGACTACACTTTTACAAGGTCCATCAATTAAGACTTATTTAGGATATAGTTATTGTAAACGTAAAGTATGGAAACTTAGAGCTCTAGATAATACTAAAATGCCAGCAATAGAAAATGCTTTGTCGAATATATCGTTGTGTCTATGTTCTGTTGCTATCGCGCAACACTTAGAACTAATTAGTTAATAATATTAAGTCACATTTGTGTGTGTTCCGAAAGTTTATCATTCTTTGGCACAAATACTGCGAATATACACCCACCCCAGGCGGTGCCCCCTCAATTTAGATAGAACTTAACCTTCGGCACACCGCTGGACACAATGCTGCTGCTTCGTGTGCTCTTGCCACTCTTGCTACCATTTCCACCACCCAGGAGCGGTGTATGGGCACTACCATGTCCATCATTACCTTCCAGGCGACGCAACAAGCGATCCTGATCGCTGACTCGCGGCGTCGTTGGCATCTCCCGATTGGGCGAATGGATTCCGGCCAAATATGTCTTTGTGCTAATGCGATTTAACTTTGTGGGCTGATGGTCTTGGAAGATCTGCGAATTGGCAAATACCGCCAATATCTCGGGACCCAGTGTGGGTACATTTATTTGCGTCTCGCGACGATAGTCCTCCTCATGCATCTTGGCACTAAACGGGCGCAATCAGAACGAGACAAACAGAGAGAGAGAGAGAGAAAGAAAGATTGGTGTGTAAATTAATAATTCAAATTATAAGCCAATCGCTAATCGGATGCCTCTCTGCAAACAATGTGCTAAATATGATCTTTGGATCGTTTTTGTGGGAGATCAAAATTTGATCTATCAATTAGTACCTCATTAGACTCAGGCCCAGACCGGAGCTGTTTTGCCGCATTTGCGGCTGATCGCAAATCGGTTGTTGTGGCACAGTCAAGGAATTATTATTGTCTGTAGTTGCTGGCTGTATGCGTCCAATGATCTGGCCATTCTTTTGAGCGGCCAAATAGTCCTCGTCGTCTTCGGGATTGTAATTGGCTGCAAAAACAAGTGGGAAAAAAGAAGGAAAATTCGTGAGCAATTTTAATACATCTCAGATTCAAAGAAGAGGCCCACTTTGACGGTTTGAGGCTTAAAATACCCCTAATGACCCGGTTACTGGTTACTTTATATATTTTTTTTAGTAATTGTTCCTATGTACCTTTTAAAGTTGTAAACATTTTTTAGCTAAATTTTAAAATTCAGTTTGTTGGATTATACTCAGAAAGAAACCTGCTATAAATATTATATACTAGCGGTCCATAAAATTCATCAAGATTTAATTGTAGATCTGTAGATATAGATTCAGAATTTATATAAAACTGATTTTTTTAGACAACAAAATTTAAATTACTCATTTTTACAAAAATCCTGCATTTATCTTTAAAAGTACTCTCTCTCTCTAGCATTATATAATATTCATGGAAATTCGAACTCCACCTGCATCTACATCTACAAATCACTGAAGGCCCAACTGAATATTTGAAAAAATTCCATAATATCATTTTACTGCATTTTGTTGTTGTTTCGTCATTTTTGTTGTTGTCCGCACAATCTAAATCTGAAATGCCAAACACGTTAAAACGCGCAAATATCGTCGCATGGCGCATGGCGCATGGTGCGTTTCAAGATCTACTTTTGAATGTGAATGTGAGTGTACGCTTTGAGTGTACTCACTCACTCACTCACTCACTTACGTACCCTCCCCCTGTGCTCCTCACCTGTGAGTGCTCCCCGGCTCCGTCAAAACCGTCAAATCTGATCAAATAATAGCCATAGTTTTCGAGTGACTTACCAATCGATTCATCGTAGCAAAAGCGCTCCTCAAAGCAGTTCCAGTAGAAATCTTCCCAACAGCTACGGGGCGGGGAGCGGGGGAAAAAACGCAATTTCAAATGTTAGTAAAAAATAATTTACTGTCGACGGAAAACAGCGGCTAAAAAAAAAAAGTTCACTTACTTTTGACAGCAGCGGCACATTTTGTCGTCTTTTAATATGCTTTTTTAATTTAATTTTATTATATCTCCGATTGTCTCTTGTTTCCTTCTTCTTTTTTGTTTGTTTTGTTTGTTGGTGTCAAAAAGAATGGGAGCAGGTTGATTTGTCAAATGTTTTGATTAATTTGTTGCTTCTGTTAAAAGGGGGGGAAATCAATTACATCCAGATTTCGGCTGGACTGGAATGTGCGCTCGCTTCAGTTTCAGAAAAACTCTGTGACGCCGCAGAGCGTGGAGCCGTGTCGTGTGTGTGGAGCTTTTGGGGTTTTATCGGCAAATGAAGTGTTAGCGCAATATCTCGCAATTGCGGCTCTCTCTCTCTCTCTCAAAGGGGGCTTTCTCTGGCGTCCTCTCTTATTGACTCTGAACAGGTGTGTACGTGTGCGAGAGCGGACGCGAGCGCGAGCGCGTGTGTGATAAAAGCGAGGTGCCTGATAGGCTACCGTTCATCAATGTGTATACTTTTAAGGTGAGGGCCTACCGCTCTCTTCGATTTGGCTTAAATATGAATTTTCCCCCAAGCAGGTATAGAATGTGACGATGGGGTATACAAGGAAAATAAATCTTCAAAAGAGAATACCCTGGCAATGCCCAACCTTATCTTAAGACGCCTTGCGCACGCTCACCGACCGAATGGACTGCATTAACTCATCCAACGACAAGCATCAGACAACAGAGAGCAAGGCAACAGATGAGAGTTTGATTGAAAGAAGAGCGTGACGGGGAGTTGGACTGAGCGAAGAGAGTGGATCGTGAGCGTAAAGGTGCGATCGGCGAGAGTGGGCCACAGCGGATAGAGCGGAAGAGAGGGGGCTGTGAGGCAACCAACGCTTGGAGAGAGCCAATCGATCGCGCATGATAGATTACTGTCAATTGCAAAAGTGGCGAGAGAGCACGGATTTCCCGCTCTCTTGCTCGCGCTGTAACTCCCTCTCGCCTCTTTCTGTGTGCACTGTGGGACAGGTGACTTGAAAATATTTTCCCTGATTTAATTTCAAGAAAACATTTGTGGCAATACTTTATGACATTTCCGCTATCTTGAATTGATTTGTGTTGTTTCACTTTTATCTTTTTGATTAACAAATGCAAAAAGTTGATTTTTTTTTTATTTCATGGCATTCTTTTAAAGATTATGGGAGTTTTTCTATAGAAATTTGATTGATTTAAAGTTGTTATCTCTTAAAAAAAAAAATTAATTTTAAAGTTGATTTTAAAATGCGTTTTGCAAATAAAAAACTGGACAATTTCTATCATAATTTCTTTTGCTTATTTCCTAGCTCTTCAAATAATACTTATTTATAATGCACTAGTCACTCAAGATCTTCAATATTCTGGAATTTGTCTTAATAATTTGATAATAATCCCTTTCCATCTATAATATATACTTTAAGTGGTATATTTTCTTTGACTCATTCTCATGTCATGTGTCCCACTGTAACCTGTTGCTGGATTGTGACACCTGTCGCCCAGCCGTTTTTCTCAATGTGTGTCTCTGAGCGATGAGACTGGTTGTTGCTGTTCCTGTAATTGAAACTTATTTTTTAAACCATGCTCCATGCACCATGCACACTCTGGCACGAATACACACTCGTACTCCCATGGAGATAACTACCTGGGTTTACTTAACGCTTTTTGAACGATAAGCGGGTCTGCAAATTGAGGCCATATCATTCCCGCCCCACCCGAGGAAGTTGGTAAGAGGGAGGAGGGCAATGGCAAGGGAAGGGCTTTCAGCTTAAGCATACTTTTAGGCATTGGTTGAAAGATCTTAAGTTTCTGATTACAGATAGCATTTTTGCTGTATTTTATGGGAAATAATCAAGCAACACGTTTCTTATCGGCATTATAGGCTTTGTAGAACTCTTATCGAAAGGTTGCTAATTGATTTTTAATGATTGAAAATTGATAAAAGGCAATAACAATAATAACAAAGAGGTTAAGAAAACTGAATTTCATTAAAAAAAAACACCAGAAATTCTTTATTCTTTCTTTAGAAGACATCTCTTTGGTGGGGTTTATCTATCAAGGTTCATACTTGGAACGTAATCTCTTGAGTGCAGATAAAGCTAATTCTTGGTGTTATTTTCATTTAATTTTTGAAGGTGTGAAATGAATAACAAAAGCAAATATGTACCCACTGTAAGAGCAAGAGATCTTTCAGCGCCTAAATTCGACAAACGAAACAAAAAAGCTCTGTTATAAAGTTCAAAGATCACAGCGAATCATGTGAGCACTGCGACAAATCGATCAATTGATTGTCTGCATGACTTTGCAGAGAGCTTTCGACGACAGTTTTGAATTGAAAAGCGACTCAACAGCACACTCATTGATCTCACATGTGATTGAGGTGGTATAGCGGTAGGGTACCCAAGCGAAGGAATCAAAGGGGATTGAATTGAATGTCAATTGAGTTTCACTGAAATGAATAGCATTCATGTTATTTGTGACTGTTTTCCGTTGTTACAGGTAATGCAATTTGTTGATGTTTACACGTTTTGTGCGTGAAGCTTATTTCAAACTGATTCGAGGTGTTATATAAGCCACGGCGAGGGCAGATTGACCGTTTATGTGGAGGCCCAAGTGCCTAGATTTAATTTGAATTTATTTAGATGCAGAGTAGCTCAAAATCAATCTCAATTTGTAATTCCTTCCACCCTTTATAAAGAATATTCATATATGTATATAGATCTAAGATCTAAGAGATCTATAAGTAAGCGCAACCATCAGTAAAGTTAAAATTTATAATTATTTCTTGGAATATTTCTAGCGATATTTCTAATCAGAATATAGTTCTTAGAAGCAAGTAGAAGAAGAAGAATTTGAGTCTTTTGTACCCTTAAAGTTTAGGAGTGCCTCGCAAAAGCTTAGTTATAGCTTCAAACAACATAAAGGGCCAAAGAATTCCAGCTTCTGCGACTGTCAAGAATACTTAAAACCGGTTTTCAATTGCTATGGATATTGCATAGTTTTTTTTCTGCTAATGCCATTATTTAGACCTGTTTTCATTCAGTGGGGATTCACTTACATATTCTCAGAAAATGTGTGCTTCAACCAATGCATCATAATGTGAATCTGTTCTAAAAACACAAACCAATTGGGAGTTGAAAATCCCGCTTGACATAAATTGTGATTGCCATGAATCAAGTCAATCAACTTTTAGCTGCAGTCAGCTGGAACACATACATATAATACTCGTAATTACTACCCCATATAGCAGTTTGCTTTGTCAGATCCACCTTTATTTAGAAAACCCCAAACTTAAACAGAACTCGCCAGAAATGAATCAGCGAAAAGTTTGCCAAGTACACTAACCTGTCATATTACTTTGGCAATTTGCTACGCTCTCTTTTGGCTCTTGAACTGGCCCATAAACGGCTTCTACTCTGCTCAATACAAATCGCATGCCACACACAGGTAACAGGGATTTTTGCTAGCAAATAACTTCCGCTCGAAAGTACAAAAACAATATTAAAATCGGCGAACAATAGCATTCGGATTTCAGTGTATAATTTCGAGTCACTCAAGCGAGGCATGCAATGCGGTTAATTCTTGTATAAACAAAAAAATTCAAAATACGAGTAATAATAAAACAGGGAACGAGCACAAAAGCTATTCCGAAATTCCAAATCAAATTTGTGTGCGATATCTAAAACGATCTTTGGCTTTTTTTCGGATAATAAATTTTCAAAGGTTGGGCCTTAAAATAAATTCCGAAATTTTCATTGGATAAATCATATAAAATATATGATTTTATGGGTACAAAAGCGCTTAAGATATAAAAGTAGCCAAACTCCATTTTATGCCCTTTTTAGACCGCCTATTGTTAATAACTATCCTAATTAATAGAGCTATCAAAAACCCATATTCTGCTGTGGAAAATCACTGGAAAAATTCCATTTTCTTTCCCTCAAACTATTATATATCAAGTAATTAATTTGGATTCATGATCATTCATTCTGTAAGCTCATCTCTGATGCAGTTCTAATAGAATTTCCAGTTAATATCTTATGGCTTTCGCTTTAATAATTGTTTATATGCCCGTCAGCCGCCTTCAGAAACCTCCCTCCATCATATACTCCCTCTATATAGTATAATTTTATGGCAACAAAACAAGTTTTGTGGCTGTAGAGAGTATAAACAATAAACGGCACAAATGAACATTATCTAGAATCTCCCACTGGAAAATCACCAAAAAGTAAAAAGGTAGACAAAAAAAAACCATAGAATAAACTCACTCTCGTGAGTGTCAAGAGGGAGAAACATCTATTGTATATCTACGTGATAGTAATTATTTAATATTCCATTTTATAGTGGGTTTTCGCTAAGTAGTTATTCAAATTGAGTTCCCACTAGAAAAACTTTTGCTGCGGGGCTTGGAGGGAGATCAAGATCTTCGTTCAAAGATAAATCAAAAAATGATGTGCCTTTCGAAGTGATCTATTAGGTAGGGATAACTTTCAGCTGCTAGTTAGAGTCCTTTATGTTATCCTTTCCTACATGTCGAACCTCTTGCAGCAGTGCCCCTCGGTCGGTTTGAAATTCTGCCATTTCTGTTCTTTACCTTCCAAACACTTCTAAAGAAGTAAAGATGCTTAAGATCTTCCCATCTTTATTCCTCTTACAATATTTGCTTTCGATTCCCCATGGGTGGCGACGATTCCTCGCTCGATTGCTTATTTATTTATTGATTTAAACGTCTGTAAGTGTAAATACCAATAGCCCGGCAAATGAAATCGTTCACACGCCACTGGCAATTCAATATTTGCCTCTGTAACTGGCTTCAGAATTTTCAGGTCAGTGCAGACGTCGGGGCAGAGTGGTAGGAGAGAAGGTGTCATTAACCGCTGGCCAGTTTTGGCTCCCCCGGTTCATGGTAATACTGAAGCCAACAGACGGCAAAGTGGCGTGCAATGGCCTCGTTTTTGTTTAACTTTAGGCCTGTGACAGGCATCAGGCATCAAGCGACATCAGACATCGCGTTTCGAGTGACTTGCATTTCGATCGAGTTTGAGTTGCATTTGCAATCGAGTTTCATTTCATGCCACGCAATGCCCGTATGGCCCCCCGTCTGCCAGCAGCGGACTTTGTGCAACTGCAGATTCTCGTTCTCGTATATTTCTTTTCGAACAAACATACAGAAATTTATCATATTTGGAGAACACGCGCTGCGCTCTCTTGTTGATGTTTTGAATTAGTATCTCAAGCGTAATGGAGCTTGCAAATGTTTTCGATTCGTGCCCGACAATTTGTTAACATTTCAGACGCCATTCGAATCGCCAGAAAAGCAAACAGAAATCATATATGTACATACATATATCTATTAATCAATTTTGGAAATGGGGTTCCGATTTAATTGAAAGGAAAATTTTTACTTTCATAAATGACACAAAAATTAAGAGGTTTTGAAAAATTTATCCGGAAAATGTATTCTAAAAATAAACGGAGAGCGAAGTCTCTTTTAAGTTTTGGGGAATACCTCAATCTGGAGATGGAAAATAGAGTAGTTCCAGAATAACATCTAAGGAATACTTTTAGTTGACAAAAACATCTTTTGGGGTCAAATAGAGTATGATCTTTGAGAGAAAATCAATCCAGAATATAGTACTATAGATCCCTTCTCACGTAGTACTTAAAGCAACCGTTTTGTAGGGTTAGGAATGGGATGAACGTAAGATGAATTCAATTTCTACAAATACTTCAATGCCTCCTCGCTCGCTGTGTCTGTTTCTCTCGCTCTCACCTTGCTGATTCTACAAACCATACCGTAATCAATTAACTTGAGTACTTGACGGGGGTACCCCCTCAAACCCTGAGGTCCCTGCATTTCCAATGTTCTACAGAGATAATGCCAACGATTACACCCGATAAAGGTCTCTCTAAATTGGTTTACCTTGAAAACTAAATGTATTTACAGTGTTAAACGGAAAAGATTATTACATGGATCTGTAGAATCCGTTCCCATGAAATTAATTACATTCCCTTTGTGTACGTTTTTTATGCTTTATGAATGAATCGTAGACAATCCTCTCGGATGCACCTTAATGGGTTTTAATTTTTCTCATCGTGAATGCTCTTTTTTCCAGTTCCGCGTTCGTGTTCATCTCTGGGGCGGCGAGTATTCTTAGGTGAGTGACTCATGTGAATCATTCATTCAATGCACGTCGCATTTGAGGAGATGCTTCCTTGAAAAAAAAAACATTGTATGCACATTCTCTCTCTCATTGAAATCTTTTTTGTTTGTCAACTCATTTACTTCAATTTTGTATCAGTAATCACTTGATTGTTCCATGGCTAAGGCTCTAAAGATACCTACGTAGGAGTGCTACGTACGGCAACAGGTGAGCGATTGCAAGTCGTCGGACACATGTCACAGCCCCCTATCCTCTCATGAAATGTCGTCTGACGAACTTCATTTTGGGAGCTTACTACGTATTAGGTATGGGTATTTTTCGGTCTATTCGATAACAGATAAGATACGGGGTGAAAGGAAGAGTTTTTTGGAACCATTTAATCGCTGGGATCAACAAAACATACTACGTAATCAATCAATTTTTGTTAAAAGAGCAGGGGGAAAACTATTAGCGATACTCAGATGTCAGTGAACTTGAATTTGATAGTGGTTACACGTGGTATTTGTACATTTAAGGTTTTACAATCTTCTAGAACTACCTACTGTTCTCAAGAGAAACTTCCAATAAAATACAATCCCATTTGAGATAAATAGATTATTGAAACAACATTTCTTATCTGTACTTCTATCTATCCTAAAGAGTTCAAATTGACAGTCTCTTGTCTGCGATCTTATCAAGAAATAATCTATACTGGTTTCTAAGCAGAATGCATAAATAATTTATTGAATCAGCGGACTCCTGAGTAATTTCCAAGAACTTTAATTCGATGAGTCAATGATTATGGTATGGGGGCTGGCAACAAACGACTATCCTATCTCTAGAAATGGTTTATTTTGTTCATCTCAAAACCAGTTGAAGTGTTAAATTGCCCGTAAACTTATTTGAAAATTCGCATCTTTCATAATTGTTTATTTATTAGCAGCATTTTTATGACCAAGAGACACATGACAAGGCAAGACAAATCAAAGCGAATCAAAAATCCGCAATTCAGTGAACGATTTTCAAATGAAATGAAACTTCGCATTTCATTTGTAATCAACACACGCCACACTGAAGAAAAAAAATCCGTTCTGATAGATCCATAAATAAATAATTCCTATACAAAAATTTTAATAATTTATGATTGATTTCATATGGGTCTTGAGAAACGTCTGAATTTTATTTCATTTAATGACATTTGATATGCCAATTTCTCTAAGTGTACGATACGTAATTGTTTCTCGGAATTTGAGAAAATCCAGGAGAAAATCCAAAACCGGAACAAACCATAGAAGAGAAGAATCTCATTTAAAGAGAGCCTTTTGAAGAAAGCCACTCTTTACACACTTGTTACAGGACAGAGATGGACAGCAAGAAAATGAGGCAACAAAGGCCAGAAGGACAGGGTGAGGGTGGTACATCAACCGCCAGAAGGAGAGGGGGGAGGTGCATTAACCGCCAGAGACAAAAAGAGAGATCGCGGTGAGAGCAGTGCAATAAACTGCAACATAAATTCTTATGCTAAATAATTGCTTACAAAGAAAGATACAGAGATGTAGTGAGGGGGGCAGATCACAGAGAGAACAAGGGGGGGTACAAAACACTCGTTTTGTCTGCTGTTGTTGTTATTCTTGGAATATCACGAGGGCTCTTGCCACCTCAGGGTCAACAACGTGTTGCACAGTGTATTCGCACTCCGTTTTGGGTTTGATTTTGTTGCTCCGTACATGTGTGTGTTCGTGTGTGCACATGTGTTGGGGTAATTCAAGTGCGTTTTCAATTACAGGTTCTTAAAAAACGTTTTTGTAGTGGTTTTTTTTTTTTAAATAAACTTTTGTTGTGCTCGTATTTGTATGTTTTATTCACTCTCACAAGGCATTCACTTTACTTTTTTTCACGTTTCTCCTTCGAGACTCCTTTCACACACTTGTTTTTTGGCGATTATACAACTTTCAATCACGTCCCTTTGCAAGTACTTTCTTTTTTGAGGTTTTTTTATGCTCAGGACTTGGGTAACTATTTATACTTTTTGTGTTAGTTGATGATTTATGCATTCCCAGGGCACAAAATAAAATTAAAACATGATCGCGTCGCACGTCGCGCAATTAATAACAAAACAAAAAGCTTTCCGATTGAAGCCAGCTCGAGCACCCGACACGTCTGTCCGGTTCAACAATCGCCGTTGGAATCAGCAGCGACCGAAGCGACCATAACTTCGGCACTACCTCCACCAAAGAGAGGAGTATTGGGGAGCATAGAATGCGAGCATTAAAAGCTTTGGGAAGTTGCCGAAGCACGGCATGGGTCTTGTTGATTAGAGATCTGACCTAGGGTCAGACCTATCCGCTGGCATTTGTCTAAAATTTAGATTTATGAGCTGTTGTGACCATGATATTGAAATTAAATCACACATTTACCCTTACCCCAGCCAAAACATTAGTATTCTGCAAGCGGAAGGAACTTCGCTGCTTTATGACACACCGCCGATATCTCATGATATATTTATTCACTTCCGTTTTTCCGCGCATTAGATTTAAACACATTTATTCACAATTTTTCGTGTTTATTTGTATTCGCATAACTTAAAATTTTTGCCGCTTTAATTTCAGTGCTGAAAAAGGCAAAACCATCGATCGCACAATCGATACGATTGTTTACGACAGTCGATACATCGTTTATGAAAAACGTAGTATTTTGAATTAAAAAAGCGAAGTTATTTCTCAGCGGATAAACCGCTGCCAAAATGAAAATAAAAAAATCAGTGGACAAATTATTATTCAAATTGTATAACAAACCCCAACACTCAATCCCCAATGGATTATTGAAATTATTTTTTTGTAATAAAATACAACAGTATTAAACATAATGATCATATGAATAATAATGCAACGCCAGCAATATTATGTACATTATAGTAGCAACTAAGAAAAAATACACATTTTACTGTCTGTCAATTAGATTTCCTTAGTTCCTTGAATAGCTGGTCGAAAAAATAGTGAATTTCATAAGCTAGCGGATAATGATCGTTAGGTTATGACCAATAAATGCGGAAAAATTATACTTTTTTTTAAGTAATATAATCATATTCAGCTGACAAATGCCTGTTTTTAAATCAGCTAGACACATACCCGAATCTTTCTTCTCATCGGTTACAGCGTAGTGATCACAGCTTACATTGTGGGAAGCTTTGCCCCAGTTCTCCTCTTCAGAGGGTGTCATAATGTCGATGGACTTACGGCTAAGCTCGTATTTAATACTGCCGGATAGCATACACAAATCCAATGGATTTCTAGAATTCTATAATCCAGCCATATTGGTCATAACATAACATCCGCCGCTGGTCCGTCGAAAGGTCATTTTCAAATTTTCGATATTCGTGCAGTGTCTCCCCAAAATGCCGATCGTCATCCAGTACGCCCTCGTAGCTAACCACATGCTCGCCAGCAATCTGCAGCAGTTTTTCCAGATGCTCGTGAGAGATGTGTCAATATGTTTGTAACGATAAATATACATGTTTGTGGAAGCAAAGCTTAGCTGGTTTAATATGTCCAGATAATCCATTACGACTATCCAGAAATCCTCGTTTAAATCGAGAACGAGTAAGAGACGTTCTCACTTTTATGTCCTCTGCATTCCGTGCGTCGTCTTAGGCAGAGGCTTTCCTCCATGAACCTTTTCTTTCTGTTTTCCGTGAGTTCAATCATTTCATTACTTTACTTGTTGTATGTTGGCGAGCCTCACAGTACCTATGTCCATATACAGAAATACTTTGGTTTTATCACGCATTATGTTCTAGGACTTCTAAGCATATCAGTGCATTCCGGAATGTATACGTCTCCCTGGAAAGGGATTTGTTAGTTACATATGCATTGATGCCACTCAAGTGAACCTCCGATGGGTGCAGGATTGATTTGACAACGCCAACTGACTGGTTCTCAGAAAACCTGAACAACTTGGTGACGGGTTGATGTTGATCAAGGCGCATTGGCACTTCACTCTCGGTTCCGAATGAATCCTGAGATTGGTTTTGGTTTAGTTTTCTTTTGTAGTAGCACAATTTGTTGGAAGCGCTTACGAATACTCATGATGTTGTGGGAAATTTCAGGATATTCGCACGCTCAATCTATACTTTTCCAAATAGTCCGATGCTCCTATTAAATTGAAAACACAAATTTGTATTTGTTCAATTCAAAGGCGATCTCAGCTGGTGGTGGCAGCACACCGATTGCCTGTGGACAAAAAGACCGATAGTGATAAAACTGTTTTTATTTCTATCGTTTTAATATCTGTACTGCTTTCAAAAGTATTTCAATTGAAGTTTATAACTTCAGCTTGACAGTTTATTTCCTAAAATGAATATAAATACGTAAATATCCTACAAGTTTTATAATATAAAAAAAGCATAAACACGTTTACAACTCACAACAGCTATCGTTGCAGCTGCTAATGCACATATCGATCACTTAGCTAGGGGTGATTTAATACATCGATACCGAATTCAGCCATCACTACGTACGACCTATTTTCAGAACAGGCGAAAAAAAAAACGCTATATTTTTTTGCGAAAAACAACGAAGATTGCGACAGCATTCGTTTTTAGCAGTCACGGACAAATTTGTTGCAATTCGCGGACATTGCAGCAGATACAGATACATTTTCCAGTGTAAACCAATGTGCGCAAAATGAAAGTAACAATCAAGTCATGGACGGGAGTTGCAACTTGGCGTTGGATAGCGAATGATGAGAACTGCGGTATTTGTCGCATGTCCTTCGAGAGCACTTGCCCAGAGTGTGCGCTGCCCGGTGACGATTGCCCCCTGGTGTGGGGTGTCTGCTCCCATTGTTTCCACATGCATTGCATTGTCAAGTGGCTCAACTTGCAACCATTGAACAAACAGTGTCCCATGTGCCGCCAAAGTTGGAAATTCAATATACACTAAACAAGGAATCGGAAGCGAAAACGAGTGGAGTAGCAGAAACGAGAAGCAAGTGCAAAGCTATAGCAAAATACCAAGACGAAGAAGAGTTAACTTACTCGAAAACCCAACCAAATGATGGACAACAGCGATCCTCAACAGCATCCACAGCATTCGCTGAGTGGTCTGCCTCCACTGCCAAAAAGTCTGAGCTCTGCCGCCGCTGCCGCTGCCGTAGCCACCGCCTCACTTCAACAGCACACATCCCATACCGCCTCGCCATCGGCGAGTGTGGTCACCCTGACCGCCGCCGCCGGGGACCTCTATTTGGGTCCCTCCACATCAGCGGCAGCAGCCAGGAATCGCAGCTACAACGGTCATCATAGTCAGCGTCATGGGAGCCTCTCCTCTACCCAGGAGTCGCTCAGCGATCGGGAGTCTGTGCACAGTCGCGCCTCCTCCACACACAGTGCTGGTCCGGGTGTGGCATCCGGAAGTCAACAGCACACGCCCACCAACAGCTCTAGCAGCACTGGAGCCTCATCATCGACGATCGACAACCAGTTGGCCATACTCCGCCGTGAAATGTACGGCCTGCGGCAGTTGGATTTGTCGCTGCTTTCGCAGTTATGGGCCTTGAACGAATCGATACAGGGATTTCGGGTGTTTCTGCAGGAGCAGGATGCCATGTCGCCACCGTCGCGATCGCGGACACCCTCCGATGCCAACTCATTGTCCTCGGACGAGGATGACGGCTCCTATGCGCCCGTGGTGGGCCCGAAGCTGATAGACGCGCCGGTGCCCAGGACCATGGCCTCGCCGGCGGCTAGTGGGGGGCTGCCCACCAAACTGGCAACGGGTTCGACAACTTCCCATGCGTCAACCAGCTCGACATCGGGGACCTCTGGCTCCTCGTCGGCTGCCTCATCGATGGGCAAGCATCAGCAGCTTCAACAGACGCCCCACTATCATCAAAGGCCAGCACCACCACCCGCACCACCTGCACAGCACAAGGCGCATCCTCAGCTGCCGCGTATCCTGCAGCAGCGCATGAGGCAGGCACCGCCACCGCCTCCACCGACAAGGGCCAAAGGCAGCGGCGGCGGGGGGGCGAGCAGCAGTAGCAGCAATCACAGCATTAGCAGCGTCACCCAACATCATTCCCATCCACATCCACATGCCCATCCTCATCCAAATGCCCATCACTCGCGGCCTGTATGACAAAACCCGTTCTTGGACTAAACTGAGTCCAAGAACAACACAAAAGGCAGATGAATACCTTTCGCAAAAAGGTCAATTAGACGGGGAAATATCTTCAAGAGTCAATTCAAAATTTAAAAAAAAAAAACTCGATGAAAAACTCACACACATCTCAAACAAAGCTTGCCATTGCTCCTCCTCCTCCATTTCGTTTTTGATATTTTAGCAAAACGAAAGCAAAAAAAAAACCCAGAAAAAGAATCAAACACACAACAAATAAAAATGTTTACAAATGAAGCGCGAGAACTTTTCAAACGTTTAATATTTAATTATAACAAAAAAAAAAAAGATAAAAATAAACAGAAATTGTATTCAATAATAATCTCTAAGTAGTAAAGGATAAGATCCTTAATATACATCTATGTATTACTTGATTTGTATAAACCTAAAAGTAACGCTTGAGAAACGCATGCAAAGAAAAACAAAGAAATTCCGCATCGAATTCATAGAACTAGAACTGCTATTTATTTGTGTTTTGTTAAAATGCATTCAAAATACTATCCAAAAAAAGAAAAACTAAAAAACAAATTGTTCCAATTCACTTAGCACTAACCAAAACTAAACTCTTGGCCTAAATATACATATATAGACACGCGCGTGGATATTTATCTATGATATAATTTGATAGCCCCTTGTTAAGTCTTAACGATTATATATATAGTATATATTGCATCTGTATCTCAAAACAAAACAAAAGAAAAACCTAGCTGATCTTACTGTTAATCTAATAATCCTATCATTAAAACTCCCAAAAACATCTAAGGCATTTATATGTAAAGCTCAAATATTGGAGCAATCCACCCGAGCATTTATACCGTGCGTTACGCGAACATAAAGGCAGTTCCAGTTTTTTTTTTAGATAAACCCTATCATATCACCTATTCAACCATCAAATACTTGAAATATTCAAAAAGTCGACTGATTTTGAAAAATTGAATTGTTAGAGTATTTCTCTTGCAATTTTCGTGAACTTTTAACTGCCTTTTAGTCGAGAAACGCACTGTATACAACTATTATATACATAAATAAAATTTACCATATAAAAGGGAAAGCGGAGAATACCATGGGGTATTTCCTATTACATATGCAAAAAAAAAACTCGGGACACTTACTTATATATTACCTAATCGAACAAATTTCCAATATTTATTGTTAGTTCTTAGCTGCTATGTTTTAACTAAACAAAAAACTCTACTAAAAATTGGTAAACTATTTGGAAATCGGATCCACACACATAACTTTTATTCGAATCACATTTTCTTTATTTTGTATTCATTATACAATTTTAAAAGAGACTAAAAATCAAAAATCAAACAAAAAAATAACTAAGGTAAACATCGGTAATACTCATAAAATACACACTGCAGCACAAAACATGAAATTCAAACATTGAGCTACATTTTTGAATAGCTTTGCTTATAGGGTATATATAGGATACATCGAGCAAGAGACTTTGGTGTAAGGTATACATCTGCTAAGAAATAAATATCCGAGAACAACACATATTCTTAAGGCATTTAAAACAAAAGTTTTTAATAGAATTTGAGTATTATTTATTTAAATTTAAAGAATCATCTTCAAAAGAAATCATTCGTAACCTCGTGAAGATCAGATGTAATTCCCAAAGCCTTATTTAAGCTAATATCCCTTTCAAATAGGACCTAATTCTTTTAAGACAACATTCTTTAGATGGAAAGCTCTAATAAAGCCTAGTCCCACTCGATGTATCACTTATAAGCCAAGCTATTCAAAGGTTTTCCTCATCCAACATACCACTTTGAGATGAACTTTTGAAAGCTTACATACATAAGTGCTGTGTACAAAAAGGCAAGCATAATATCGAAAATTTACACTGAAATACGAAACAAATATACAATTTTGTGTGCGATTGTTCAATTGTAAAAGGTTTTTAATTGCAAAATGAGATGACACAAACATAATTTATATAAAACTTTTTTTGTTTTCTGAATGTAGCAAGAGATGGATAGGATGGGTAGAGGATGATGATAATGATATCGTTATAAAGTGTATTATGTAATGGAAAATTGATTAGTAATGGAAACGAAAGAACGCGATACGAACGAATCGATACAATAAATATCAATTTAAATATCAATTGGAGTCATGTAATTAATTACAAAGTTAAGTTTTGTCAAGTCTAATGGTTCTTAAGTGCTAAACTGTCCACAGCAGTCGGTTGGGATCTCTGCAACAATTATAAAACATTATACACCAATCAAAAAGGAACTTTAAATACTTACTGTTCGTCTCGCCCCAGCCCAAGGGTACGCCCAGTCGACTGTTCTCCTGCTTGAGCCACTGATAAAGCGGATCAAAGTATTCCAAGAGGGCGGATGTGTCCATTTCCGTTTCGCCTGTAAACTCCTGCAAGACCTCCTTCCAGTGGCGGCTGCTGCCGTGCGACAGGAATTTGCTCAATGCACGACCCGCCTCCTTGCTGCCAAATATGTCGCAATTGTCCAGGGTGCGCCGACTGTCGTTGGGGGCATACTGGCCGGCCAGGCTGCAGAGGGCCTTGTGAAACTGGAACTGAAATATGTGGGCGGCAAAGTAGCGCAGATATTCGACATCCGCATCGATGTGATACTTGGCCGGCGGATCAAAGTCCTTGTCTGTGCGCGACACGGGCGGCTCGACGCCACCGTATTCGGATCTCATTTGCCAGAAGCCGCAGTTCCATTGCGGCTCCTCGATTTCGTTACGGAAGACGGCATATCGATATTTATCCATGGTATAGCCAAAGGGCAGGAACACAATCTTCGAGAGGGCTTGCTTAAACAGCTCATTGATGCGACTCTTCTCGTCCAGCCGGCCATTGTCGGTCAGGCCAATGCTTTTCAAATGCTTCGCCGACATCACTGACAGCGCGATGACATCGCCCACAGCCTCGTGAAAGCCGGGATTGGGAGCTCCTCTGAAGACAGCCGGCTGCTGTTCGTACTGCAGGTAGTATTGAATGTGTCCCAGTTCATGGTGGACCACAAAGAAGTAGTGCATGTCCACCTCAGTGCACATTTTGATTCTCACATCGCTGTCTTGATAAAAGTCCCAGGCGGAGGCGTGACAAACTACTTGACGATCATCGGGTCGGGTAATCAAACTCAGGTTCCAGAAGCTCGGCGGCAATGCCCGCATGCCCAGACTCTGAAAGAACTGGTCGCCCAACTCGAATAGCTTCTGGACCGTGTAGTTCTGTTGCACCATTTCGGCCTTGACATCCACAAAGGGTTTCTCCGGATAGGGTGTGAAGAGATCAATCACTTCGTTCCACGACTGAGCCCACATGTTGCCCAGCAGATGCATGGGTATGTTACCCTCCGCGGGGACCACATCTTCGCCATAATGCTGGCGCAGTCGGTATCTGACATAGCCGTGGATCTGCCTGTAGAAGGGAAGCAGTTGCTTGAAACTAGCATCCAGTTGTCTCTCAAAGTCGGCATCCTCATAGAACTGCACCCAGTAATCGGCATACGAACGATGATCTATATAAATAGAATATATTTCACCCATTAGAGAGGCCAGACAGGAGGTTATCGCGCCGAACACTCACCATTTAGATGGGCCGCCTTGCGGGTGAGTCGCACGTACTCGGCAAAGTTATCTTTCTGTGAGGTGCCAGCCTTGTCGTACCACTCGCGCCAATACCAGGCCAACTCTGCTGGATCGCGGCTATTCGAGAGACGCTCCTGAATGTGCGGCTCCAGCGTCAGCGAGCAGTCGCTGCGGTTCGTATAGGAGCACACATTGGTTGTGGCATAATTCGACTGCATCGAGCTGATGGCGTTCTGCAGGGCCAGATAATCCTCAGTATTGAGGGCAGATGCTCCCATCTTGGACAGGTGGAGTGCCTGCCTGCGTATGTCTGCATCCTCGGACAGATGGTAGTCGGAGGATTTGATTTTCTGGGCCAGCTGTTTATTTTGTACAGCGTTACGTGCATAGACAGCAATCATAGCCTGGCGATTGTCATCGGTCACATTGGTGTTGTAGGTGTAGCTAGCCAGGTATTCCTCGTGGTAGCGCTGGCGCAGCAATTCATTTTCACGCTCAAAGAAACGACGGGCATCCAAGGTGGAGGCTGAACATGAATTGTCCGTGGCCAAACCGTCAGGCAGCTGAGACGCGAATACAATTGTTGTGATATGGTAGGCAATGAGTATTCTATGGAGTCCTTTAACTTACCCGCGCCAGAAAGACCAGCAGAAGGGACAAAACCCAAATAACTTGTATTTTTTCCATCGTAATTCAATGCCCACTGCTTCTTTTGGCGGGAATCCACTGTATACTGCTTTTCTTGGCGCAAATACTTTTCTCAGGTGGCGGGCCGCCACTGCTTTCCTGACGAGCGTTAACTTTTCGCAGCTATTCTTGTCAGCAGTCCACTGTAGACTGCAAATAAACTGTTTGTCTACTGCTTTGTGGCCGCCATTCCCAGCTCAAATAGAGGCTCTGTCTTATCAATTGAGGCCTGCTACTTTGCACTTTGAATTTATTATACAAATAATTATTTATGCTTACCTAACAAAGAGAATAATTCCAGAGATTACTGAGTGTTTCTGCCTCCAGCGGCAGGGAACATTTAAATATTTCCGGCTGCCGGGGACTGCTTTTATGACTGTATCAATGCACTAGAACACACACATACACATACACAGACTCACACTCATGCATGCAGCACATGCTAATTCGATGTCGATATTCTTTAAAAACGAAATGCATTCAGTTACACATTCATTCACAATCTGCCTTAAGGTGCGCGTGAGCCGGAATATTACACCTGCCGCCAATCTGGCTTCGTTATTTGTTGCTCTTTTTGTTGCCGGCACATTATCCAGTGCTTGTGCTGAATTGCCGCCAGGTGCTCTGCTTTCAACGAAGGTATCGGGTTAACTGTAAACTGGCGTGAAACCAAGAGCAATTTTATACATACATACATACGTACATATTTAAGCTTGTCTTTTATTTTTAAATACCAACAATAAGTAAACAAAAGAGGGAAAATTGTACACTTCAATCAGGAACCAAATATACGCAACATAGACATATTCCTTGAAATTAGTAAATAGGAAAAGTAGCGTCCACACTGCCTGTCCAAGCATGCAGCCCACCAACCAGATCCCGGATGGAATGTGCGGGAAATCGATTTTTAATATGCTGAGCAGCGATTTGGGAATCGTTGCCACGCCTACAGAGCAGTACTATGGGTAATTCCTTGTCCTCCAGCTGCTTGGCGAAACGTTTTAGGTAGCTGTCGTCTAGGATTTCACTCAGTGGCACATTGATGGATCTGGGCAGCTGACAAATCTCGAATTCTGCCGGAGGCCGTACATCGAGCAGCAGATGTGGCTGCGACTGTAGCTTCTGATGGTATTCCTTTACCTCCAGTCGCTGATCCGGCTCTAGTAGGTCCAGGGGATTGTCTTTGTCAGTGGCATGCATTCCGCAGAACATCTCGTAGTCGATTAGTTCCGTGATTAGGGGCTGAGCAGAGCACACGTGACAGTTGGGTCGTTTGGTGCGTATCCGGATATTGCGGAACATAAAGCTGCTGCCATCGAAGATGAGCAGACGTCCGGACATCACATCGCCCAAGCCGATTATCACCTTAATGGCCTCCAGGGCCTGCATGGCTCCAATGATTCCTGTCACGGCGCCTAGAACGCCTCCATCACCACAGTTGGTGACTGCTTCGGGTGGCGGAGGCACCGGATAGATGCACCGGTAGCAAGGTCCCTGCCCATAGCCATACACGGTCAGCTGTCCATCCATCTTGAGCGCGCTCCCAGACACCAGAGGCTTGCGGAGCATCACACAGGCGTCGTTCAGCAGGTAACGGGTAGCCACATTGTCACTGCAGTCCAGGACCACGTCATAGGGTCGTATAATGTGCATGGCATTCATGCTGTTGATCAGACGCGAGTGGCAGCGGATCTGACAGTGCGAATTAAGTTCCAGCAGAGCAATCCTTGCAGACTCAGCCTTGGACATGCCGCAGCGGTGCTCCGAGTGCAGGATCTGACGATGCAGATTGCTGCGCTCCACCTCATCGTAGTCGATGAGGCCTAGGTGTCCGCAACCGGCTGCCACCAGGTACTGGGCGGCCGGACAACCCAATCCTCCCATACCCACAATCAGCACGGAGCTGTTTTTCAGCTTCAACTGGCCTTGGACTCCAAAGTCCTGGAGAATCAACTGTCTGCTATATCGGGCTATGTCGTCGTTGGTGAGTTTGGTCTGAGGTGTGGGCATGTCATTGGACGACTCTTCCGCTTCATCACTGTCCTCGCCGGCGGCTATGGCCGCCTCCAACTCGCGAAGACATTGCTCCTTCCTGTTGAGGTTGGCCCGCAGATCAGCAATATCTCGCTTCAGCTTGACCCTCTCGCTTTCCAGTGCCTCGGAGTCGATCATTAATAAAAGCAAAAATATATTTACAAAGTGCGAAAATTAAAGATTTCTCCCATCAGCTGATGCTCGATAGGTTATCGGCTCATTACCGGCAAACTCGATAGGCTGCTTATCGATGCGAACAGCTGTTCCTCTGCTTTTTCTTGAGGAGTTTGAAGTCTGTTTACAATTATCTAATCATAAATTAAATCAAACCCATGTCCTGGCTTAGTAACACAATTCAAAAGCTGTGCAGAGTCACGCTCCTGTCGGCCGGCAGCAATCCTCTGCCTGCGATCTCCGCCACATCCACAACGGTGCGACAACTTTCGCATGCCGAGCGACGAGCACGCGGTCCTACAGTGCGGCGCTATGGCTACAAGGATAAGATCTTCAAGAGTGGTCTGCTTCCCCATTTGGACAACGGACAGAAGCTGCCGATGCCCGTCTACCGCCCGAAGAACCCCTGGTCAGAAAAGCGCGCCCTTTTCGGCCAGAATGACTACATTGACATTCTGGGCAACGATCGACTGCATCCGGTGCGAGTGATGTACTCGGTGCCGTCATGGCTGCGTGGTGTCTCTGGCAACGAGTACCAGGTGCTGCTGCGCAAACGACGCCTGCTGGAGAAGAGCAAATACCCGATTGCACGGCCCACCAAGTGGAGGGATATGCAGAAGCGCATTCTGTATCTGTACAAGTTCCTCAATCGCAAGACCAAGACCGGCTACTCCAAACAGTAGCATGGAGCTCCCATAAAAGGCGTAATAAAGTGTTTTGTTGATTTGATATTAGCTTTTGGCTTATTTTAAGAGTATGCGCGCCTCCTCTCCGTCGATCATGATCTTCTGGCCATTGTACAAACAGAACTCTCGCTTAACGTGCGCAAACAGCAGGTCCGTGATGAGGAATATCTGACCCGTCGAGAAGGCCAGCGTGGCTCCAAAATAGAAATTGGCATTGGCCGATCCCGCGTAGATCCATAAGTGCCAGAGGGTGCCCATCATGGACAAGGTCACCAAGAAGAATGTGAAGACAACAAAGCCATGGGCCATGTCTGAAAAAATTCAATTATTCTATCATAGATTCAGTTGAATTCTTAAGAACTTACACTTCCAGCATCGTTTCCACAGAGGCAGCAATGCCAGGTAGAAGCCCACATCTCCCAGGCTTGGATATGCACGAAACACAGCCATGAGGGCCACCAGTACGGTTGCCAGCAGCAATGGCTCCTTGCGCAGCTTAAGGCTGAGCGGCACCAGGTACAGCACTGTGGCATTCAGTTGGAATGTGATTAGGAACATGGTGCGGAAATGTTCAAACATTTCGGTAAAGAAATACCAAAACAGACCAATATTTGGCTGGAGATCTCGGAAATAAAAGCTGCCAACGGAAGAGAATATTATAGAGGAGGGCTATGAAGGCATCCATCATTTACTCACATAAATCCTAGGGTTCCATCCAAGAAACTCCAACTTTCTATAACCAAATAGCTGGCGGCAGCTATAATGAGGCATGCAACTGCAAAGAGAACTGATAGGATGACGCCACCGGCGAAGGAGCGGCGTGCAAAGACTAATAGCAGTGGAGCCATCAACACAATTGGGTAGAAGCTACGAACAGTCTCAAAGGCCAGCAGAAATATGCACGGCAATAGAAGCCCTTTAGTCAGGAAATACAGGAATAGGGCTAGAAACAGGTTGCTCAGCACTGTCGAGGTCAGGCCAATGCAGCTCAGCACAGTCAGAGGGTTGAAGAGATAAGCAATCAGTACGAGCTCAGGTATATCATAGTTGTCATCATCGTTGTACTGCAGTTGTTCGGTGTCTTTAGCATAGTTCTTTCGCTCCAGGCGCTGTTTCTGCAGCTTTTGCTTCACAAATCGTACGCTCAAATTGTAGAGTAGTGCCCCCGTCAACAGATCGAGCATTATGTAGATTAATGGCAGCCACTGGGGAAAGTTTAGGAACAGTCCCGATAAAGCCTTCAGCACTAGTGGGGTCTCATGGACCAGGTCGCCACTGTATGGATCAATGCCCTGGTCCAGCAGGTATATGCCTTCCTTCACTATAGAGAACTTATCATTAAAATCTGCGTACATTTCCTTTTAAAGGACTACTTACTTCGCTTTTGGGAATTTAAAGGTGTAGCAAACTCTACCCGGTCGCTGATGAGCGACGCCAGAGGTGTACGCACGAAGTAGAAGCGTACGGCTCCGCCCAGCAGAATTAGTTTATAGAATTTTGCATCCATATTGCTCGCGTGCTTTGTTGTAGATCCTAATTTATGGAAGTGTGCAGCATTATTTCTGTAAAATAAATGCAGTTTCCGAAAAGCGGGTGCGACAGCTGTAGCTAAGGATGGCACACCACAAGGCCGATAGCTATCGGATTGTATGCACCTTTTCTTAATCACACCTTGCAACATTTTAAGCAGAATTCACATAAAAAAACGATTTGGAGGAGACTCTGATCTTATATTGAATACCAACTCGTGATCTGCACAAATATCCTGATCAATAAAATCGATTTGACAAATTTAAATTTTCTAATAGTCGATATGCCAATAAAATCATTAGCCGATAGTTTTGCTCGCTTTGTTGACGAACTGTTGCACTTGCTTCACATTTACTATTTTCGAAATTAAATATATTAAAACGCGCCATTATGATCGGCTCTAAGAAGAAAACGAAAAAGGCGAATTTATTCAAGGAAATAGCGGACAACTTCGAGCAGTTGACCAAGAATCCAGAGCGTTTTCTCAAGTTTGTTTACCTCCAAGTCGCGCACGTGTTTGCTTCAGTGGAGACCTAAACAATTTTTCTTCTAGGCCGCAGCCGGAGCAGATTGGTGCCATCGAGCAACTCATACAGCAAACATACAGCGTAAGCATCAGCGGAGATGTGGAGAATAAAAAGGATTTGTTGCCCGAATTGGTGCTCGAGCAGATGGACGAGGAACAGATCTGGCAGCAGCTGGAAATGCGCAACGAACTGGTTTTCCCGCAATTGCTGGAGAAGACTGCCAAGCTGATGGCTATGAAGGAGAAGCACTTGGGCATCGAGTTGGACGACGACGAAGAAGACGATGAGGAGGAAATGCAACCAGAAGAGCAATTTAATGAGGAGGCGCCTGGGCAGGATGCTCCCGACTCAGATTTTGATTTTTCTGGCAGCGATGCCGAGGATCTGCCCAAGAAATCTAAACCCAAAGCAATTAAAACAAAAAAGGGTGGCAAGCGTATACGAAACTCTGTGGTTGATGACACATTCTTCAAGCTGGACGAGATGAAGGAGTTTCTGGAACAAGAGGACGCCAAGGAGATGCGGAAGCAGAAAAGTAAGCACCGAGTGGAGGAGGAGGCGGATGGCATCGATTACTATGCAGATGATTTTGGTGTGGGCGAGGAGGAAGATGAGGATGATGTCAATGTGAATTATGCGGACTTTTTCGAAATGGACGAGGAACTGGAACAGGAGGCGCAAAAGTTAAACAAAAAGAACAAAGGCAAGCAAAGGGATTACTTCAATGAAAACGAAGATGAGGCGGAGGAGGAGGATGCGGATGCAGGAGCGGAGGGAAATGCGGATGATAATGAAGATGAAGAGGATGCCGCTGAAGCAAATGAAGACCAAAAAGAAGAGGATGCTCCCAGTGAAATCGATGAGTCCGAATTTGTGACTAAAAGTGGCATAGAACCAGTGGCCAGTGATTCAGACTCTGGATCCGACAAAGAAGACAATGAGGAGGAGGATGACCAAGAAGAGGCAACACCAGCCGTCCAATCCTCAAATGAGCTGCGTGAGGCTCGCCTGTTCCAGCGCATACGCGACTATGAGGATATTGTGCTCGGCGAGAAGCCCTGGCAGCTTAAGGGTGAGGTCCAAGCGGCCAATCGTCCACAGAACTCGCTGCTCGAAGAGATCCTAGACTTTGAATCCACCACACGACCCACGGCACCGCTGACAGAGGAAGATAATCGCTCCATCGAGGATATAATCCTGCAGCGCATACGCGACAAGGCCTGGGATGATGTGGTCCGCACCGTGCGTGTGGATAACACGCCGCAGGAGTACCGCAAGCAGCTGGTGCTCGACCAGGAGAAATCCAAGCAATCCTTGTCCCAAATCTACGAGAAGCAATATCAGCAGGAGTTGGAGAAACTCGATCCGAACAAGGATGCCGAAGACAATGCCGGACCGGATCCCAAGGAGCATCAGGAAATCAAGCGAAAGATGCGAACGCTGTTCCTCAAACTCGATGCCCTTTCCAACTTCCATTTCACACCAAAACCAGTCGCGCCCGAGGTAAAGATTGTGACCAACACGCCGGCAGTGCACATGGAGGAGGTGGCTCCCGTGGCCGTCAGCGATGCTAAGCTGCTGGCCCCCGAAGAGGTATTCCGCGGACCCAAGCACGCCCCGCTGGGCAAGACGGAGCGCACACGCACCGACAAGAATCGCGAGCGCCGCAAGAAGAAGCAAAAGCAACGGGCCATCAATGCTGTGCTCGAAACCCGGGATCTGCAGCGTGCCAAGGAGGGCAAGGCGCCCACGAAACGCGAGGCGGATGCCAAGCTATTGAAGACCATCACCAAGAGTCGCAGTGTACAAAAAGTGAGTGAGAGTGTGGCACAGTTAAAGCTCATAATTCGAATCGAATCCGGTATTCTCTTTTGCAGACCACCGCCAGCACCAGCGATCAGGGTGCCTTGAAGTCCTCCAAGGCATTCTTTAACAAGCTGCAGGACTCGACAGCCCTAGCGGCAAGCGGCGCTGGGAGCAAACGTCCCAAAAAGGACCCGGCCAAAGCGAATGCCAAAAAACTCAAGCTCTAATTCTATGCATATTAAGACTTTTCTTTTCCAATTTCTAATGTCATTTGCATGTGACGTCAGCAGCCAAAAACCATGTCTCCAGTCACGTGCCAGCAAATGGCCAATTCCCGCACACACATCCACGGCACGCACGCCCACATGCTCCCCCACGGCGGACGCCTTGGTAAAAGAAGAACTTTGCTATACTTTGCTCCACCGAAGACTCCCAATTTGGGGCACCATGGGAGCTGCCATGCGACAGCATTTTGTCGGCTCCCTCTGTGTTTCGTGTGGGGTGTGTGTGGGTGATCCAAGGCCATTTAATGGCCCGACAGGACGATTAGACACGCGTGTAATGTCCACAATTGGATTATTTTTAGAATTATTTACTTAAAATAACCTGTATGCTATTTAAATAGAACGGAAACTCAAAAAGTTCTCAAGTTTGGTTTGCATTCAAGATTTAATTGAAGTTTTTCTGTATTTTTATTTATTAAATTTAATTGATGTATATTTTAAATATTTAAATGAAATAATCGGACGGAGAATGATTAACCCATTGTCGACCAGTGGGTATTTAAATACACAGGCGAATGCTGTTACACTTGAAGAATTTTAGCCGCATTTAAAGCGTGGTCATTTTTGTTCGTAAAGAGGATAGGATAAAATTACAAGCACTTATATTTTCCGCGGTTTAATTCAAGGTATTCGCCTGTTTAAATAGAGGGGGCTTAGGTGGATTAAGTTGTTCTGTAAATTTTTTGGTATATGGTCTCACTGTGCATCGCACGTGTTTAAAAAATTGTTTTTCTTCTGACAAAAATTCATTAATTGACAAACTCAAACATGGTTAAAGTACAAAAACCACAGCCAAAGTCGCTAAGCAAAAGCACTAGCATTGAAGGCGTGGCCAAGAAGAAGAAAACCACGCAAAAGGGCAAGTTGGCCGAAGCAGCCCTGCTGGAAGTAGCGGCACCCATCAAAAAGGTAAAAAATGTCGCGCCGAAAAAAGGAGATGTCGCTGAAAAACCCAAAAAAGAACAAAAACCTGTTGAAAAACAGAAACACCCAAAAGCCGCCAAAAGGCCCTTGGTAATGGCTCCTCCAGAGTCGCCGGCTGCCTCCCCCGTCGTTGTGAAAAAATCAAAGGTAAAGGCCGCCGCCATTCCAGCCACTCCTGCCGCCAAAAAGCCACTGATTTTGGCGCCATCTCCATCACCAGCTAAACCAGCGCCTGCCAAAAAGCAAAAGAAAGTCAAGCCCGCTCCCGTTGAGCCTCCCAAGAAGGCGTCTAAAAAATTAGTTGTAGAAGAAGCTCCCGCTAAGAAGGGAGCTGTGGCTGCATCTGCAGCTCCTGCCAAGAAATCAGCTTTAGGCAAGAAAGTGGATCCAGCTCCAGTGAAGAAGACAGTAGAAGCACCAGTTCCGGCTGCAACCAAGAAAGATAACAAGAAAGCAGCTCCAGCTAAGAAAACACCGGCCGCTCCTGCCAAGAAAATACCTGAAGTACCGGCCAAGAAAGCAGAAACAGTCAAGAAAGCAGAACCAGCCAAGAAAGCAGCACCAGCCAATAAAGCAGCACCAGCCAAGAAAGCAGCACCAGCCAAGAAAGCAGCAGCAGTAGCTAAGAAATCCGTGCAGGCTCCAGTCAAGGCAGCAGCTCCTGCCAAGAAACCAGTGGAAGCTCCAGCTAAAAATTCAAAGAAGGCAGTCAAACAAACGACAAAAGCAGTGCCATTAGTAGCTGAACCTGACACCAAATTAGCCAAACCAGCCGCAGCGTCACTACAGAAGAAAAGCAAGCCACTCAAGAAACTCTCCAAGCCAGACAAGTCGACGAAAATTAAAAAGTCAGTCAAATCGGTCAAAGGAAAAGCCAACAAAAAGGCAAAGAAGCCGAAAAAGAAGCCCGTCGAGTTGAAATTTGAATTGAAGCCCTTCGATGAGCAAAAGTTCCGTGACATAGTCTCCGAATCGAATGTGCTCAAGGTATGCCAGGCGCTTAAGATGCAAGTGGCCGAAGAGGTGGCCAAGAAGAAGTCCACCTCGATATTCACCGACTACCGCTACATTCTGCAAGTGTGCAGCTATAAGATACCCAGCTGCCCCAAGCGTGTGGTCAAGCTGGGTCTGAAGAACTCGCTGGTGGGTAGCGACGATGATGTGGCAATCATTGTGTCGGACTTGCAGCGCGGTGCAAAGTTTGACTTTGAGCCCACCAAGGCCCACTATGAGGATCTGTTCAGCGAGCTTGGCATCGAGCAGCGTCTGACTGTGGTACCATTCAATCAGCTGCGCAACGAGGTGAATAGCTTTGAGGCCAAGCGCAAGTTCCTCAATACCTATGACTACTTCATGTGCGACGGCAAGCTGTCGGGTCAGGCCAGTGCCTTTCTGGGCAAGGTAATGTTAGTCCCTGTCATCCCTATTTCATGATGCTGATACTGTTTCCTTCATCTTTCACAGTTTACCCAGAAGCCACGCAATGTCCTGCATCCGGTGCGTCTGAGCAAGGACAATGCCCAGCTTCAGAAGGAGATATCGCGTGCTCTGTGCCGCACCGCTTACAGGCAGCTGAGCAAGGGCGATCTGACCGCCGTCCCCGTGGGCAATCACGAGCACAGCGCCGAACAGCTGGCGGAGAATATTCTACTGGTGACCAAGCAACTGGAGACGGTCTATCCTGGGGGCCTGGCCAACATTCGTTCGTTGTATGTTAAAATCGATATTGTGGGAACCTCGGCTCTGCCCCTGTACATCAGCATGTGTGCCGCCCCAGCGGACACGCCGTATGTGGTCGGACCACGTGAGCAGCGCATGCTGAAGCTGAAGAAGCAGGCCAACGAGGTACTCTCCCGTTTCGCCCTCACCAAGGATGCCGAGTTTGTGAAGTTGACCTGGCAGCAGGTGAAGCGCAAGGCAGAGATTCGCGAAGAGAAGGCGGCTCTCTTGGCAGCCGATGCGGCTGGTGCTGCTACTACTCCTAAGGATAACGATGGCGAGGACACTGCTGTGCCCACGAAGAAGGCTCGCAAAGAATCGACGAGCGAGGCGGGCAAGGCTGAGGCTGAATCGGATGAAGATGAAGTCGAGGAGGAAGATGAGATTGCTGAAGGGGCTGGTGAAGATGAAGATGATAATGAGGGTGGGGAGGATGACGATGACAGCGATGAAGACGCCGAAGAAGACGGCGACGACGATGATGATGATGATGAGGATGAAGAAGAAGAAGATGATGACGATGATGAAGACGACGACGACGACGATGAGTAAGCGTGCCTTCTGGCAAATTTACTTTCCTTTAGTCGTAGTTCTTCGATATCCCCTCCCACAACCCACAATAATTCTAACTATATTTTCGTATTGAAAATTTGGAAACACTTTTAAGGAATAAACGAATTGTTTTTAAGTTAACAATTAACAATTCTTGCTCTATAAATATTCATCTCTCATCATCACGATTCAAAGAATACATCTATCCATATACATTTTCAGTATTCAGTATATTTTCAGAATAATATGAGGATAATACACACAGTTCTCATTCGCGTAAACTTCCATTGGTCCGTCGTATTCGACACAAACAGGACCTCTTCCGCAATATCGTTGCTATACCGCCAACCTATATGAGAAATTTGTATTCAATTTTAATCAATTTAACATTACATATGTGATTTTCTAGAATGGCCCCCAAAAGGCGACAATTGTTTCGCGCTTCATGGCAGCTTTGTTTCTCTTTGATTTGATTTGACTTCAGTCGATTTCCTTTCTAAATACATCTTGCTGTTTACTTGTGAGCTCATCCATGGACTTTTTCTGTCTGGTCTGGTCAGGAATAATATCATATCCCTTGCCTGCTCGGACACATTCGGCTGCAACTCGTGCAGTATTTTCGCTTGATTCTCTACATCGTAGGCGTTTTTCTTTAGGTGGCTAATTCTGAATTGTTGAGCCCTCCGATAAGTTTCCAAGCTCCTGAGCTTGGCAATGACATCCCTCGACCCTTGAACTTGAGGCATAATCTTCTTAAAGATACTGCTTCAGATGTGCTGCAGACATTATCCTTTTTAAAGAAAAACAAGGAAATGTACTTCACTACTTTTGCTTTGAATGTGTGTACGTACTTCCCTCAATACCAGCTTCACAACTGTATCCCTAAATACCTATGCATTGGTATCTGAAGGATACGACTGGTAAGAGAAAGTAGCGCTTCGTAAATGTATTTGTCGGAGGCAAAGAATTTCTTGAGTTTATGGAGATTGAGCCTTTCAGATAACCCTTGTTTCAAGACGCTTAAAAGCCGTTTAAGCTTTAAAGTTCGGTTATTAAAAGACACTATGGTATTTGGATTGATAGTTATCTTTAATTAAATAAATATATTTCTACGAGTACTCATTGGAGAGAGCATTCCGAAAATGAAAACGCTCCCTTTGCTACTAAGCCACATTGTAAGGGAGAGAATGAGACTTCTATACGAATACAACCAGGTTCGCACATCCAAGAAACAATATATTTATTGGGGTCGGAAACGCTTCCTTCCGAGTGTTACAAACATTTCCGTCAATCGAATATACTCCCGTACTCTTTGAGTATCTGGTATAATAACGATTAAATAATCAGTTTGTTGCCCAATGCATTGCAATGGATTGAATATAATACCTATTAATATGTATACACATATGGCTAAATCTTTATTCAGGGATGAACCATTGTGGCATTTGCATTTGAATGTCCTTTCCAGATTATTGAAATTCTTTCCGCCAAAACCCTGACGTCCACGCCATGTCGTTGGATGGAGGTGATGCTGCATTAACGTGACTCAAAGCGAACAACAACCGACAACCTTTTGGCATCCTTTGTGGCGGTCATAAAATCGAAATATGCACTACGCTCCGGACTCTGGCTCAGCGGGAAGTGGAATGCATCTCTCCGCGGTACATGCTACAGCTACCCACAAAGTCAATTTCCATTTCCATGAGTATTGATTTATATGCGCGTGGGGGGAGGTATTTTCCCTATAATTTCATAAATTAGCCCGACTCGCTAGCGGCCTCATCCAGTAGGAGTACAGCGAAATGCAATTTCTTTGATGTCTGGCAGGGAATTATGTATGTATGAAGAGGGGCCAGGAGTCTGACCGAAAAGTTAACACATGCTTGCGTAATTCCTCTTAATTATCTTTATGATTTTGACATAGTTTGACAGTTGGATAGATAGATGCCTAAGTCTCCCTATGGTCTCCGAGGATTCAGATTCTATCCCTCACTCTATAGATACACGTATACATCTGTGTGTTATGAGGGTGGCTGTGGCCAAGGCCGAGGATGTAGAGATTAGAATCACGTTTTATACGATTCACCAAAAAAAAAAAAACATACCGACACCAAAAACCAAGCCGGACACGTCGCTGCCAAAAAAAAAACATTGTAAAGCTTTTATCAGTCCACATTATCATTAGTCGCGTTTACTGTCATAAAATCTACATATGTACACAATGATACGGTATAGATACATATATATATATATCTACAGATAGATGTGCGTTATATTTGAAAGGCAATAAGGATTTCCTACGTACGCAACTGGCATTTCCCCCATTTTTTTGACGGAGAGAGTTGTTGATGAACGTGTGTGTTAATATGACAAAGTGGGGGATTGGGGAATGTGGAATACTTGGGATAGGTCGCAGAATATTCCTTACCGCTGGCGAAAGCTCAAATAAGTATGGATATGAAGGAAATTGTATTAATTTTATACTTCATGATGAGACAGACACTTCCAAAAGCCATACTTAAACAAATTTGGAACATGGAAATGTAAGGGCGTTACTCAAATACGTATTGTATCCAAATATTCATATGTTTCTTGTATTCAAATTTATCCAAACTTTTGGCTCTTTTCAGATAATTCTATTAAGGAACCATGAAAGGAAAAACTGGTTTTATCAACTCTAGAATAGAACGGATTAAGTGTTGCCTATAAAAACAACAGACTCACACGTGCAGCAAACCCAAGTGTTTAAAAAATTGTTAAAAATTCAGCAAAAATCGCGAATTGCCTTATTATTTTTTTTAATTTTGTTTATGTGAAGCCAAGTTAGGTGGAAAATATTGAAAGCAATGTCTTACAGAGGGTGGCTACGACGGCTTTGGCCTCAACAGAAATCGTTAAATGTCGCGTAAAGCGGAAAAGAAAATGACAAGAGCATGGTATGTATTTTAAAGATAAATTTCCATACTTTTCAAAATGATATCATATTTTCTCGTTATCGATTTTGCAGAAAAGAAAAGTATGTCAAAGCGATCACCTTGCATTCTCGAGTTTATCTGGTGAGTAGTACATATTATAATTTGTATTAAAACTTTGAAAATAACATTTAACAGTCTCTGATGGAAATATATCAATTATATATCAGTTCATACGGTCATACCCACGCTAGAATATGCAGACCTTTTCAATTAAATCCAACAGAATGGGCGTAACCTTATGTTATCCGTGATTTTTATCAGCCATATCATGATTTCATCATCATGATATTTACGTACGTAACGCATTGATCTGCGTATTCATAACAGTTGAATAATTTGGGGATAGTAATATTTTATATATAGTAATCTCCAATGCTTAGTCATGGAATGGAGTCCACGAATGTGGCATAATACCAATTACTTGATAATGCCCTGCAAGAATTAATAAGCATTCAGAGGGGGATTTATATTGGATTTGGCGACTGACAGCTGCCACGGGCAACTAATTGAAAATAATCTGATGCTGATTAGTGCGATACTGATAGCATGATCGATGGATCCCCGATTCGATAATTGTGCGTAATTGATGATTAATAAACAGATTGGATAGAAGGGAAAAGCACCTCACAATTATGACCACAAATTGCCACGTGTTGCGTATACGTACATTTGTAGTCTGCCGGATCCGCAATGATTGCGCACAATCCCCAAACCCGCAAAATCATACATATTTTGGGGGCAGGGGGCTGTGTGGGAGCTCTTCGGCTCCGTGCGTCGGTCCCTGGCAATCGGCTCTCCCCACCTGAAACCGAAACCGTTGAAATCTTTCGTATCCTCGGCTGGCCATCGGCTTGCCACTCGCCCCGTATAAATCGCTGGCTCCTTGGGCTGCCGATTCCACTCACGTTTCACACTCAAAGCGGTGCAGTCACCCAGCAGCCAAAGCAGCAGAGCACCCGCAGAGCAGAGCACTGATGGTTAATGTAAACCCTATTTAAATTTGGAAAATTCTGAGAGTGTTTGGCTCAGTTTTCGAAGAAAGTTTCCGTGTATATCCCAGTGAAGTTTCTAAAATAACAAATAAATTAACAAACTGATATTTGTGTGAAAGGAATTAAAAAAAAATACGCTTTTGTCTGTGCATTTGCGTGAAAAAGGTGAGTTTTATAAAATATTAATTAATAATTTATAATGAATAAATAGAAGAAAACACTTTTTTTTAAATTAATTCTGTTTCGAAATCTTCGGAAAATACTTCTACTTTGCTCATTTTTTAAACAATTTATAACATATTTCTGAACTTACAAATATTTCTTACGTCCTTCAGTATTTAATTTATTTTAAATCATAGAGCTTATACCTTTTTTCGACGTACTAAATGTATGAATTTGTTTATTTTTATATTCAAAATGTTTTTCGATATTTTATGTCCCTTTTGTTCCATTTTTATTTTTATTTGATCTACTGAAAAAGCCGTCGGGTAATTTTTTTGTGGTGTTCTTTTAATAAATATTTAAAAATTTTCTTTAAGATATTATATTAGCCGTCGGAAAACTTATCTTTAGCTTAGGTTTCTGCAGAATTTCTAGGGAAATCCTAATTGTAGGGGTGTTATCTTATTTCAAGGTAACTGAAAATGGTAGTTAAATGGATTAATACATTTTTGATGTTATTTATAATATGGTTCTATTTGATTTATTTTAACTCCGATTTTCTTTTACATTACTACTTAATTATTAACAAATATTTCCATCAAATATCTTTATCAAATTCTAATAATGATATTCATTCCGCATTAATTAAATGATGTATTCTGTTCGCTTTTTTTTTGAGTTTAGTCAAAAGTGTCCCCAAATTTATGATTTTCTAATAAACCAAATGCAAAAGTTTATCCCAAAATATTTTCTAGGTCTATTGTTGACCTTTTTGTTGCATATTCCTACCGTTTCATCTTCCACTTAATTATGTTTTTATGGCTCAAAATTTCATATGTTTATAAATCTGTAAATATCTCGTCTTTGGGCTTTTGGAAATGGCTTCTTAGCCCCGGCCTAAGCCATAAAGTCAACATGGAAACCCCCAGTCCGCCATTGTTTCCATGATGTCCTTCTCGATGATGTGTGTTGAGCCCGGGACATTTGTTGCTTCGCCTCCGTTCTTGTGCTTTTGGCTTTTGGCCTGGGCGACCTTTTTATTCCTTGTTGTATCTGGGAAATCTTTATTTTATGTTGCAAAATTGAAGTCGACCCTGCGCTGGTCTTATTACCAAGTAAGTCCTTTTGGATTATCGCAATCATTTAAAGCTTTATGCGGCCCTCATATTGGATCGTCCTTGTAGTTTTGGTAGTTTTTAGGGAGGCAGGCTGCTTTGAGAGTTTTCCTACTGAAATTGCCCGAGACTTTGGCTTTAGCTTCTTAAAGTGCTTGGCTTAAATATGTGGAGGAAGTTCACGACTTAAATATGTGGAGGATGCTCTTAGGCTTAAATATGTACAGGAATTCTTCTTGGCTTAATAATATGTAGAGGAAGTTCTTGTCCTAAACATATTTTCGAAGCTCTTGGCTGAAACATAATGAGAAAGCTTTTTAGCTTATTGAGGAAGATCTTGGTTTAAGAATGTAGTAGAAGTTCTTGGCTTAATATCAAGAGGAAGTTCTGGGCTGAAATATGTGTGTGGGAAATTATTTTCATAAATATTTTCCGCAACCGTTTGGCTTAAACATTTTCAAGCAATGGCAATTAAACTCCCCCCCGCATCAAAGATCAACCGTATTTGGCCTGGAATTGCTCATCTGTTCAGTGATTCGAATCACTGAGTCCTGTACTGGTATTTTCTCCGCAAAACTTTACTTTAAATTCAATGGAATGGTATGTTTCGCGAAACCATTATGTTTCCGGCTTTAGTCGCAAATTCCCATTTATAGCAAATGAGCAATTAATTTTCGTTTTATTGAAGAATAAACGGCAGTGAAATCCGCATGTAGATCAAATTAAAATTATAGAAAAACAAAATAATTGAAAAGTGATGAAAATTAAAAATGTATTTAAAAGTGCGAAGCGCGAAAGCTGCTTAACTGTGGAATAAGAGAAGAAAAGTGATTTTAAAAGTGGAGTCGAACAGGAGAGGAAATCCTTTTAATCCTTTCCTTTTCCTCACTTTTTTTATAAAGCTTTAAATGGGAATTCGTTACGGGAATGGGGTTCAAAACCAAATAGGAATAGGATGAAATAGGATGATTAAAAGTAATATTTTTATATAAATATTCTACAGATTTGTCACGTTTTACTCCTCCTAAAAGATGTCAATATGTGTCCAAAATAATCTCAAGACTCCACCCTCCATTCTCTCCTAAGAAATACAATCTTTTGCACAAATATTCTTGAATAAATATAACATTCAAAAGTATTTATTTCCACCATAATATATTTCATAAACGTCTCTTAAGCCAAGAGGATTTCCCTTAAGCAACAAATACTATTTTGCAATTAGATTTTCAATCAATAAATTTCACACTCCGCCCCACTGTTTTGGCCACACAATTCGAATTCCTACACATTTTGGCCATTTTATATTACCACATTTGTTTGGGGCAAACTGTGAAGCAGGCAGAAACGAGACCTGAAAACCGAAAACCGAGGGAGAAGTTGTGGCTCAGGTGCACAAAATGTCGGATGACAGGCGTTGAAAACTACTTAATTTAAGAGTCCACCCTTGGGTTATTTATTTAAATGCTTTGAACAGAAACCACAATGTTTTCTTTAAATTTACCAAAGAAAAATACGTGAACAGACAGCAGAAAACACTGTAAGAAGGCAGTTGATTTGGGTGCCAGTAGTACTTCCCTTCATAAGCTTTTTTTTAATGGTCTTTCCTGGTTTTCCACAGCATCCAAATGCGCTCTTTTTGAATGGTCTTTCTTGGTTTTCTCTGGGTCGAAGTGGAATGATGTGGAAAATTTTTCATACACAATTAATTCAAGTGGGAAGCGCGAAGGTGTACCTGACCTTAACGTGGGCATCAATTAAAAAATTATTAGACAAAGGTCTTCAACAAGGCAGAAAATTCAGCACTTGAGTGCGCTGAAAAAACCTCGAAATTCCTGCCTAAAACGCAGTAAAAATCGTCACTTGATGGTGCCTAAAAGCAGAAAATTTCACCACTTGAGCGTGGCTAATCCTCCAGCAAAAAAGGGCTTAAACTGAACACCCAAAATGATGTAGAAAACTTTCGAATAAAATTGTTCTTAACAAGCACTCCCCCGGTTGTCCGTTCTTCTAATTAAATTTGCATATTTTTATTAATTAAATTGTTGTGCCAGTGTTGTTTGCCAGAAGCTACAGAGAACTTTAGCCCCTCCGTAACACACACACATATGCATGCTAATCATCGTGGCAGAGCTGGGGGAATCCCCGGCACAAAATTACCATGCTCCCGGCGGAAGCTAAGCAAACACCCAGAGCACAATGGCATAACATTCCTTATTCTGATGCCTGCCACGCTTTCGACTTCAATGGGTCCTCCGTGGTCTCCACATCAATGTGGGTCTCGTCTCCTCCGTGGACTCATCCATAAACTCAAAAATACTCCTCACATATACACCATTTCGGGGATTATTTCCCCATTTGTTGGCACGGGGCGAATAATAATGATCATAATAATGCCAGTTTTTACGGTTTACAATGTAATTGGGTGCACGATTCTTCAGTCAGATATGTTTATGCCTTCAATTAGGCCTTTGAATTGGAAACTGCATAAAAAGTTACCCGAGTTTCGGGTTAAATTGACTGCAATTTTAGTGTGGGAAAAATCATTAAAAGTTTGCCTGAAAAAAGAGCTATAAATCATCATAGATACGGCTTATACGAGCAGACTCTTTGGTTAATTGGGGGTATTAAAAAGAGATTATGGTGCGGCTTTTGATGAACTTTAAGCCGGATCTGGGGTAAATTGGAATTTTTGAACAAATTTTTGTTTGTTTTTTTCTGTTGGTTTTTGAGGTAACATTTTTTCGCTAGAAGTTTTGGTACATTCTCTTTATAATTTATCTTTAATGAAACGATAAACATTTTAATCCTTTTAGTGTATTTTTGAGCTCATGATCCTGCTCCTCTCAGGGTAATATTTATTTTCATTTGATTCATATTTTTCATATTTGCCCTGCAGGAAAGATATAAATTTGTTGCTGATAAATGTTAGCCTCTTGGCATACATTTTCACTCTCCATTTGCATTACCCATCCCCCACCTCATATACCCACCTTTGATGGTATTTGCTCCTTAGCGTAACCGTGCCAAATATTTATTCACATTTAAAAAGTATTTTATGTTGCATTTTCCTATAAGCATTCTCGGGCGCTGATGCTGCCACGCCATACCATTCCTCTTCTGTGATAAGACATCCGTCTCAACCCCCCCACCGCACATTCTCTCCCCACAGACTCCCCCCAGATATGCCCTGGTGTTATGGCTTTTATGTGTGCCCGGTCCTCCTTCCAGAGTGTTTGCTTAAACTCTCCATCGACTCTCCATCGACTCTCCCCGACTCTCTTCCCCGCATGTTTGCTCCGTTGCTGAATTGTTTGTATGACAAAGTTTGCTTTTTTGTAATAAATTCGCTTTAAAAAATGTTTGAACATTTATGACCGGCATTTAAATTAAATACTCTTCACGCTTCTCAGCTCGAAGCGAAAAGAAACTGAAGTCGAATGCTCAAAACAGGGCTTAGAGAAAATTCTTTGCACAGATGAGCGCTTATTTGGCGCTTAGAAATGTGCATTTCGAAAATTGAAAAGAATATTAAAATAAAAACAAAATGATATGAAAAGTACCTCCGTGATACCTCTGTTCTCCGATTAAACTTCCACTCAAGAAGAGTCTTCAACTGGGGCTTAAGCAAAATCGAAATCCATAAACCATAAGGAGTATGCTCCCCCTGGGGCCTCCTCGTGTGTACTTTTCCAGTTCAATGAGCCTGCCGAGTGTTTCCAAAAGCACAATTCATATCCTTTGGCAGGCTATGAACCATTTGAACAGCAAAAACCTTATTTAAACCAAACCAACAGGCAATTAAAGGCGGGATAACTATTTCAACAGGCAACACTCAATTGCAAAATACATACGTCTAACTCGTTCAAACGAGTGCCAGTGCTCTGCTCT